CCCCGCCTCGCCCCGTCCCGCCTTGCCTCACGTCAAGACACGTCAAGTCACGCCAAATCACGTAAAGTCACGCCAAATCACGTCAAGTCACGCTAAATGACGTCAAATCATGCCAAATCACACCAGGTCACGTGAAGTCACAAGTTACGTCAAATCACGTCAAGTCACGCTAAGTGACGTCACGTCACGTCACCTTACCTCACCTCACCAAACTTAACAGCAGGGAATGTACACCTCAGTTACTGCTTGATGCGCACAAGTCTAAACGGACAAGTGAAGTGGGCAAACCTAACCTAATCTAACCTAACTTAAGGCAACCTAACTTAACCTAACCCAACCTAACCTAACCTAATGTAATCTAACCTAACCTAACCTAGCCTAGCCTCGCCTCGCCTCGCCTCTCCCCGCCTCGCCTCTCCCCGCCTCGCCTCGCCCCGTCCCGCCTTACCTCACGTGAAGTCACGCCAAGTCACGTAAAGTCACGCCAAATCACGCCAAGTCACGTCAAGTCACGCTAAGTCACGTCAAGTCACGTCTAATCACTTCAAGTCACGTCAAATCACGTCACGTCACGTCACGTCACATAACCTTACCTCACCTCACCAAACTTAACAGCAGGGAATGGTACCCCTCAGTTACTGATTAATGCGCACAAGTCTAATGGGCAAACCTAACCTAACCTCACCTAATCTAACCTAACTTAAGGCAACCTAACTTAACCTAACCTAACCTAATCTAAACTAACGTAACCTAACCTAGCCTAGCCTCGCCTCGCCTCGCCCCGTCCCGCCTTACCTCACGTGAAGTCACGCCAAGTCACGTCACATCACCTCAGCTCACCTAACTTAACAGCAGGGAATGGTACCCCCCAGTTACTGATTGATGCGCACAAATCAACTGCGCAAATCTAACCTAACCGAACCTAATCTAACCTAACGTAACCAAACCTAGCCTAGCCTTGCCTTGCCTCGCATCGCCCCTTCTTGCCTCGCCTCACGTCAAGTGACGTCAAGTCACGCCAAGTCACNCTAACCTAATCTAACTTAACCTAGCTTAGCCTCGCCTCGCCTCACGTCAAGTCACTTCAAATCACGCCAAGTCACGTCACGTCACCTTACCTCACCTCACCTAACTTAACAGCAGGGAATGATACCCCTCAGTTACTGATTGATGCGCACAAGTCTACTGCGCAAACCTAACCTAACCTCACCTAACCTAATCTAACATAACCTAGCCTATATTAATCTAACCTAACCTAGCCTCGCCTCCCCTCGCCTCCCCTCGCCCCGTCTCGCCTCATGTCAAGTCACGCCAAATCACGCCAAGTCACGTCAATTCACGCCAAGTCAGTTCAAATCACTCCAAGTCACATCACGTCACGTCACGTCACCTCACCTAACAGCAGGGAATGGTACCTCTCAGTTACTGATTGATGCGCAAAAGTTAACTGCGCAAACCTAACCTAACCTATCCCAATCTTAACTAACCTAATCTAACCTAATCTAACTTAACCTAGCTTAGCCTCGCCTCGCCTCACGTCAAGTCACTTCAAATCACGCCAAGTCACGTCACGTCACCTTACCTCACCTCACCTAACTTAACAGCAGGGAATGATACCCCTCAGTTACTGATTGATGCGCACAAGTCTACTGCGCAAACCTAACCTAACCTCACCTAACCTAATCTAACATAACCTAGCCTATATTAATCTAACCTAACCTAGCCTCGCCTCCCCTCGCCTCCCCTCGCCCCGTCTCGCCTCATGTCAAGTCACGCCAAATCACGCCAAGTCACGTCAATTCACGCCAAGTCAGTTCAAATCACTCCAAGTCACATCACGTCACGTCACGTCACCTCACCTAACAGCAGGGAATGGTACCTCTCAGTTACTGATTGATGCGCAAAAGTTAACTGCGCAAACCTAACCTAACCTATCCCAATCTTAACTAACCTAATCTAACCTAATCTAACTTAACCTAGCTTAGCCTCGCCTCGCCTCACGTCAAGTCACGTCAAATCACGCCAAGTCACGTCACGTCACCTTACCTCACCTCACCTAACTTAACAGCAGGGAATGATACCCCTCAGTTACTGATTGATGCGCACAAGTCTACTGCGCAAACCTAACCTAACCTCACCTAACCTAATCTAATATAACCTAGCCTATATTAATCTAACCTAACCTAGCCTCGCCTCGCCTCCCCTCGCCCCGTCTCGCCTCATGTCAAGTCACGCCAAATCACGTCAAATCACGCTAAGTCACGTCAAGTCACGCCAAGTCACGTCAAGTCACGCCAAGTCACGTCACGTCACCTCACCTTACCTCTCCTCTCCTCACCTCAACTGACTTAATGACCCAGAGACTTTTCAGAGTCCTTCGTTAACCTTTGGGTCGCAATGTATTTTGATCCATCCTGTAGATATTTATCTCTCAACGTTACTAGGCACTTCTGTGGCCATACATTCAGTGTGCACAATGGGACACGACCTACTGGGGGTTCAGCCCAGACAGCGCCCCCCACGCAGGTGGCTAAACACAAGGGCGAAATCAGCGGTCCTCAATTGTACAGACAGACAGAACACCAGCGCACTGGGGAATGGTGTGTTCTGATCTGTGCTGGAGAGACGCCAGGGAGCTTGAGGGCCTTCTTCAATCCTTCAGATATGACTACGTGGACTCTTTGCCTCTACAACCCTTTGTGGGCCTTGGCCTCCTTTACGACTAATGTCCTTTCTTCTTCAGTATTTGCCTGTCACTCCTCCGCAGAGTATAGGCCGCCTCTGGGGGCCCACCCAGCGGGTATCGGGGGTAAAGCGGCCTGGACGTGAAGCTAGCCACTCACCTCCACATGTCTTCATGGCGTAGTGCTTAATTAATTAATTAAGCACGGGGACAATTTTACCTCTTACGCTTATTTCATTCATTCTAATCAGATGCCCCAAAGAACATAGTCTTCTTTTAATGGCCACTACTTGATCAAGGGCCTTAAATGTCGCGAGTCTTTCAATTCTTGGTGACTTCCGTCTCTCTAAACCCCTTGATCAGTTACTGGTCAATATATTTTCCTCAGAATTGTCCTCTGCAACGTTAGTCATAACCAGGGCCCGGATTTTGATGACCTCAAAATATTTAAAAAATTACATATAAAATGCCCGAAAAAAATCCGGAAAAATTACCTAAAATATGATCCAAAAATGTAATATGCAGGGCCCGGATTTTTATGACCTGAAAATATTCAAAAAATGACCGAAAAAATCCATAAAAATGACCTAAAGGAGAAAAGAAAGAACACTTCTCTTCCAAATTATTCACATTTCAGAAAACATATGAAGAAAAATTCCCTAAAATGACCAAAAATGACAAGAAATACCCTTAAAAATAAAAAAAATTACCAAAAAATTACCCCCAAAATGAAAAAATGACCTTAAACCTAAAAATGTCAAAAAATGACAAAAAATTACCTATAAAATTTACATTTCTGTACCAAGCAGCTCATATCCGAGATTTATGAACATCGCATAGGATACAAGGAAAAAAAGATGACATGTCATCAAAATCCGGGCCCTGGTCATAACTTTATATACTTCGGTCATCAACCACGTTTCACACTCATACATCACAATTTGGCAGGAGCATAGCCGGTATAGCGACTGGCTACGGGCTGGACGACCGAGGGTTCAGAGTTCGAGCTCCGGTGGAGTCAAGAATTTTCTCTTCTCCACGTCGTCCAGGCTAGACCTGGGGTCCACCCAGCCTCCTATCCAGCGGGTACCGGGAGCTCTTTCCCCGGGGGTAAAGCGGTCGGGTCGTAAAGCTGACCACTCATCTCAAACTAGTGCCGAGGTCCAGAAAATATAGATCTATACATCCACTCCCCCATACGCCTTCATGGCGTAGTGCTTAATTAGTTAAGCACAGGGACAACTTTAAATTTTACATCGCAGTTTGTTATAATATTGTTTTGTAAGTTAAATTCTCCATTTTCTGCTCACAGCTCTACACCCCTCAAGTTGAATGTTGATCACAAATTCTCATGATGGGTCCTGTTCGAGATATAAACCTGATACCTTCCGAGTGCATGTCAGCTTAAAATTAACTTCTGTACTGAATTGTTTCTATGGAAAAGTAAAGATAAATCTGTTCCGGTGCTTAATCAAGCACCACGCCATGAAGCTGTATGGGGGAATGGAGGTATAGCTCAACGCATTCCTGATCTTGGCAGTACCAATTGTGTAGGGGCTAGGCGGGCCCCAAGAGGCGGTCTGGAAGCTGTGGAGAAGAGAACAACATGTGTTCCCGACAAATCCATTCCCGAGAAGTGACAACGGCTGTTCTGACAGAGGCTTTTCCTGGTTTCCCTCAGTACCTCCATGGATATACCGTAATAGTACCACTTCCTTTTACCAATTCATTCAAACATTCGATTCTATATCGTCAGGGTTACTAACAGCATCATAACATAACCACACATATTCCATTTACGCCTATGTCTTCCAAAATGTCCTCTTCCCTTCGAATTCTTAACAAAAATTTCATGCCTATGCATTTCTCACCTCTCCCATACGAGCTACATGCGCTACCCATCTCATCCTCTTTGCTCTGATCATCCTAATAATATGCGACGAAGAGTACAATTACGAAACTTTTATTTACGTATGAACTGGATTAATCTGGCTCACGATACGGACCAGTTGATGACCCATGCGTACATGTGAATGATTTTTCGGGTTATGTAAAACTTTTGCGTAATTTTTGAATATCTGAGCGACTATTAGCTTCTAAAAAAGGACCCTGCTACGTTTAGTTTTGTGTCTTCCCAATGAAGAACATGAAAAGATTTAAATGACTGACAGATATGAAAGCTTTGTACAGAACATTTTTCTGTGCTAATCAATCCAAAGCCAAAAGTTCTGAGACGGAAACATTGCAGACGTTCGTGAGCAGTGACGTAATTCCGGTGCTGAAATGCATCTAGCGCCTCTGATTTGTGTGTGGCCAGGCATGGAGGAAACAGTGGATCACAGTGAGGAGCTGTTCTGAATCCGGAGTGGAGGTTCAGCTTGGTAGTACTTGTGTTCGAGTCCCGCCTGGGTCCATCCTCTGCAGATCGGAGTCACGGTAAGAACAAATAAATTTAAACTCACGCTAACTTCTAGCACCAGGGATTTTCCTGGGGCTAAAGGGCGGCCGGCTGGTAGGACTGACAATCTCACCGCCTTCTGTTGACACGATTGTCACAGCCCTATGGGCCTCCACGGCCTCTTACAGGGACAACTTTACCCGTTTTAATTCGATACCTTATTTCCTCGGCCCCTCTTGTCAAGGCAGTAACTTATTAACTAATTTATCTGTGCTTGTTACTGAATAAAACTGCAGCCATAAAGACCCAGTTAGTGACATGACACGACGCTGGATCACGTGGACGGTTTCTTGTGATTTGTTTTATGAAGCTGTCATGTCGAACTGTAAAGAGTTGAGTGAGTTGTCCCCATGTTTAATTAATTAAGCACCACGCCATGAAGATACAAGGGGGAGTGGAGGTAAAGCTCCACCATTCTTGATCTTGGCACTAGATGAAGACGAGCGTTCAGCTTCACGCCCCGGGACGCTTTACTTCCGGAGAAAAGAACCCCTGGCACCATCTGAACAGGAGGCTGGGTGGGCCCCAGAGGCGTCCTGGACGCTATGGAGAGATGAATGGGAAGGGATCTGGTAGTAAGAGGTCGTTTCCTTATCTGGTTTTCCCAGCATCTGCTTGGGACTAGAGGTAAATGACGAACAAGATTTGAAATGTGGGCCTCCCGAACACGAGGGAGGGGTGCCAACTGTTGGACCACATCTGTCGGTGTTGCTCGTTTGCATGATAATGGCTCTATTGTTCCAGATCTCGCAAGTTTGCCTTCGGCGTATTCGCGTGTGTCGAGCCACGGCGACCGTGCTTGTACCTGGCCGGGAGCAGCGAGGCAGACACGCAGCGCTGGATGCGACACATCCGGGAACTACTGAGGCCGCCGCGCGGCAACGGGGCAGGTAAGCCCGGGTGGGCACTGTCCCATGTCTATATCCTGAGCCCCATGGATCCAGTCCGCATCCCATCCTATATTTCTAACATCCATTTTATTGTTGTTATCCTCCCACCTATGTCTCGGTCTAAGTAACAGTCTCTCTACTTCAGGTCTTCCTATCAAAACCCTTCATACATTCCTTCTTTCTCCCTCGTGTGCTACATGCCCTTCCCATCTGGTCCTCCTTGGCTTGATCATGCTAATAATATTTGGTGAGAAGTACAAGTTATGAAGCTGAACATTAAACAGTTTGCTCCAGCATCTTAGCGTTGCATCCCTCTTTGGCCCAAATGTTCTCCTCAGTAACCTGTTTTCAGTGCAGTCAGTGTTCTTCTCTTAATGTGTAGCACCAAATTTGACATCCATACAAAACCAGAGGAAAAATTATAGTTTTGTATCTTCTAATCTTTACATATTTCGACAGCAGATTGGAAGACTGAAGGTTTGACTCTCAGCCAGGACACTGGCTATTTGGACTGAGGTTTTTCACAGTTTTTCTCAGTTCCTTGATACAAAAGCGGCAGGACTGGCCACAACTGCTTCAAATTCATCCCTCAGTCTACTGATTGACACTGCAGTCTCAGATATGGGCAGCATTGTAAAATATCCCTTCCAAAAAAGATCTGTGTCACTTAGGAATATGCAACTGTCAGAATTCCTGTATATTCTAATGAAGTCTAGATATACTTTGTCTGAAACATCTCTGAGGGTACAACATACATTCAGTAGGCAACCTTATGGATAGGAAGTCCTGTGTGTTCAACAGGATCGCTGGTATGACAACTTTGGTTACCATTGTGATGAAAACATAATAATTTTCTAATGATTATGTAAACTCGAAAGTGTTCTATAGATTGACAGGACTGGGTTTGAGGTTTTCACAGTGGTGACTGTGTAGGGGATATAATGCTGTGTAGTCCAGCAAAAGTCAGCTGACATTTCGGAGGAACATACTGCTTCCATCTTCAGGGCTGAAAAGTAAGCCAAGCAAGAAACCAGATTTAGAATATAGAGACAATATTTTCCTGTGGCTCGTCTGTTGACTTTTGCTGGACTACACAGCATTATATCTCTTTGCTATCACCGAAACTTTCTTTCTGCAGTAGAAAGGGGATTCCCAGTTTCCTTCATTGATAACGGTCACTCCCGCCTGGCAGGCCTGATGGGGGTGTATGGCAATATGGTGGTGGGGGCAGACTGCCTCACTCTGTATGACCCAAGTTCAGAAGCACTTCTCTGCTCATGGAAATGGCAACAGCTGCACCAGTTCCACCTCTCTGCCACCGAAATCAAGGAGGACGAGAATAAAATCTGCGTCATTCACACCAGCAGGTAATTCAAGTGCATGTGTACCGCTTGATCTTGGTTATCCTGCCTCACTTCTTTCAAGGTCTTCCTCAGCTACTGGCCGTGAGGAGCAATACAAAGGGGGTGTAAATCTCTCTGAAATATTGACATGGGACAAACTTCCCTAGATTAGTAAACATGACATATGAAAATTCCCTTTCCAGTCCATGCTTATATGATTTATTGGTAATGAAATTAAGTAAAATTGAATAGAATCGTGTACAGCACGAATACTTTTATGGAGCTAGAATAGCTCAGTTGGTATAGTGACTGCGCTATGGGTTGGATGATTAGGGTTATATTCTCAGCAGGGGCAATAGATTTTTCTCTCCTCTATAGTGTCCAGCTGGTTCTGGGGGCCATCCAGTGGGTATGGGGGGGAGTGGTGGGGACGTGAAGCTAATCACTCACCTACATCCAGTATCAAGATCAGAATAATGGAGCTATACATCTGCTCCCCCATGTCTTCATGGCATGGTGCTTAATGACATATTTAAGCAAAAGAATAGTGTTATGTTTAGTTGTTCGTTGACTTCATTCTTAATTTCTTATTTTAGGGACTTCCCCCCCCCCCATTTTTGAGTTGGATTTATTAATTTCTTCGACCGCCTCTGTGGTTTAGTGGTCAAAGTTTCTGGCTGCAGATCCAGCAGTTCCGGATCGATTCCCGGCGCTACCAGATCTGAGAAATAGTGGGTCTGAAACGAGGTCCACTCAGCCTCGTGAGGATAATTGAGAAGGTATTTCAAGGAAATAGCAGCTTTGAAACCGAGATTAACGACCGTGGGGATCCATTGCACTGACCACGAGACCCTCTATCCGCTAAAGTTGGCACTAACTTCACCGACAAGTGGCGATGGCTCGGTTGGTATAGTTCGCTTGTGGACTACAGGCCACGGAGTTTGTTTCTGTTTGTTTGATGCAACAGAAATCAGCATAGCTCTGATTAATGTAATCAATATGAGGATTCTTGCTGAGTTGGACATGAAGCCGATTATCAGCATCTAGTGGAAAGGCAGATCTACCAAGTTTGTTCTGCTGTTTTTTTACTGCAGAAAGGGGGCAATTTTCACTGAAGTTTAAATGTCTGTTAACTACCCTGACTGTATTATCCAACACTTCCTTTGAAATCATACAATACTGAAAACAGTTCTTGTATCACAGACTTTCTATCATGTCAAATTTAAATTTTCCATAACTCTAGCAGTTGATACAATATCTTAAAAACAAAATTAATGAACCTAAGGATCGACAATGGCAAGGATACAATCTGGCATTCAAACCAGCAGTTATTTCAAACTGCATCTGCTCTAGAATTAAGGCAGGGATAGTGGGGCATTGCCCTGGACACAAAATGGGGCACAGAACTCCACCATCCCCTCAACAAAATGGCCACCATTTAGTCTTAAATTTGTTTTGTTTATTAATACTTAAAGAGATTTACAGCTGATTCAACAGCACTGCTTATATACAACAAACACAGCAAACTACAAAACACATTCATAATTTAAGAACTATATTTAAATTTATTGTCTTAATTTTTGTTAGTTGGATTTGCTGCTCTTCCTTCAGAACTCAAAAATGTACTGCACAGCCGGTGAGTGTCTCTGAGTTCCTTGCAGTTGTCTTGACATTTCTAACCTACTGTTCTGTTACAGTGAGTTCTGTGCGGGAGCAGGGCAACTCCACGTCTTCTGTCCCCAAGCTTCGGAGCTGCTAGATCAGCTGCTGACAAATGGCAGAGTCCGACGCCTCATGTCCTCTCCGTTACCCTCACCACCACCCCTGCGTCATGGTGCCAGGCGCCTGAGTCGCAGCGAGAGCGATCTGCGCTGCTTCAGAGCTGATGAGTTCAGTGCACTAGGCAGTCCAGGACAACCCTGCCACTTTCTGAGACACAAGGGTGTCCTGGAGAGATCGCACAGTAGCTCCAGGGCTTCAGCCACTTCAGACGATTATGTGCAGGCCATTGGGGGCAAGGTGAGGACATTTCATGGGGGCAGGTTTACCATGCTGTGTGCAGCCTGAAATGAGGACAAGATGGGAGGTTGTACATACTTCTGTCTCAACCTGTTTCATCAACAAAACCACCGAACAGATTTTGATGAAATTTGGTATTGATGCGTAAACACTAAGAATTTCAGAATTCGATTTTGTTTCATATTGGTACAATATATTGAATTACTTGAAGTATAAGATACTNAGTAAACACTAAGAATTTCAGAATTCGATTTTGTTTCATATTGGTATAATATACAGCATTGAAAAACTAAGTACATAGTGCAGAGAAAAAACTAATAAAATTTCAGAGAACAGGCTTCATCATAGATGGAATCTTAAAAATATTCTAATGTTTTAATACAAGATAAGACCACTTAATTCAAAATGATCAGAGAGTCTGAAGAACAGAACCTGGTGCAGGTTGCCAGCAGTCTCATCTCAGCTGGCCTGGGCCTCTTGTTCTCTACGCCGGCCTGCAGCGAGGCAGACACCGAGTCCTTGCATGAGTACCAACAGGTGGGGAGCCTGGACAGTGACGAATATGATGACGAGTCTGGGGACAACTCTCGACCAACACGGAGGGAGTCGGGTGTCTCTGTAGCATCTGGCATATATGAGGAGATAGCAGATGGAGACGAAGAGCACAGCGCTAACCATTATGAGAATCCTGCTGCCTTGCGATGGGGTAGAGCTGCTGAAGATAGAAGCAACTCTCCCCCACCACTACCACCGAGGAAGCAGAGACTCCGCTTCACAGACAGGTAGGTACAGGGCAGGTCCTTGAACTTAATGCCATAACAGTCGTTCCCTCAACTACATTGCATGTGAGCCTTAGTGGGCCATGAAGCTGATCCCAACTACACAATGTGAACGGAACTCCAAGCCTGCTTTTTGTGGCTAACTCCATGGATCTGAGTTCTTCTTGAGAAGTCACCAGTTGCGCAGCTACTTAAGAATTTCCCAATATTTTATGGAACCTGGAAGTTCATTACCATGTTCACAAGAGCCTTACACCAGTTCTGATCCTGAGCCAGATTAATCCAGTCCATACCACCTCTCTAGATCCATTTTAATATTATCCTCTGACATATGTCTATTCTTCCTAGTGGTCTACTTTCTTCTGGTTTTCCCACCAATATCCTATGTACGTTCCTCTTCTCCCCATGCATGCTACATGCCCTGCCTATTTCATTCTCCTTGACTTTATCATTTTAATTGCACTTGGTGAAAAATACAAGTTATGAAGCTCCTCATTATGCACTTCCTTTCTTGCTTAAGGATTACAAATGGTACGAGTCTAGAGCATTACTGCTACACCACCCTGCTTGGTTCCATGTTTCATTGCAGCTTATTACACAGGTCGTGAGCTTTCCTGTCACTGTGAGATGACTCTATCACCCAGTTCCTGAACTGCTTGGGTGTTACAGGAGCACCCATGACGATGTGGGCAGAGAGTTGTGCTATAGGACACCTCCCATGCTGGCACCACACTGGCGCCATGGAACCTACCCTGTAGCTGCAGCTTCCTCAAGCTTGCCCGACTTTGTGCGGTGTCTGCAGCCTCGTTCCGCATGGGGAGGCGACACTATACCCCAGCCAGAGCCTGACTACCTACCCATGTCACCTGGTCCAGTGAGGGTTGTGGCTGAGGAGCAGCATTACACCGTCATGGCGAGCGTCAACACCACATGACATTGGTGTCATGTGATGGACCATCAGCAAATTGAACCAGAGCGCCAAACTACATGTCACTTTGAAAATCACTTGTCATGACACACAGTCATTGGATAACAAGCATTGCTGTCATGACATTCCACTGCGCTGCTGTGACATGACATGACATTATCAACATTGTTATAGCTGTTTTTAAAGGCTCCTGTTTTGGAACAAGAATGTTCATATTCATTGGTCACTGACATACGATGAACTCTTTAAACACTGAACATGAAAAGTGTCTGTCCACCCATTCAGGTGCCTAGATGGCATTCCAAGTCACATTCTTGTGTTAAGAGTTCCTGAAAAGGCGTAAATCTGTTAAAATCTCAACATTACTTTTTTCCCCACCATCAATACTCTCTTACCTTATGTGTCAGCCAGTATGAACTCATGATTTTGGATATTATCCAAAATGTTTACATATATTTTTACTTTCTCATGTATATAACACATGAAAAGTATTGTGATGCTGAAAAAAATTAATTTATTTATTTTAACAGAGTCACATCCTTTCAGCTCCTCTGAATATGAAGAAGTGGGTTTTTAGAATGCTGCTTTCATGTGTCCCTCACTATCATCTGAGCAGTTCAACAGATTTTATTTATGAAGAAAGCAGTCTTCTGGGATTTGGCACTGTGTATATGTGGTGTTAACTAACGTTTCGGAGGAACGTATCGCCTCCATCTTCAGGGTAGAAGAAAGAATATAAGAAATCTGCAAGCGAAGAGACCGTGAGAACCGGAATCTTACACAGATTTTATTTATGTTTAGTATTTAAGAGTTTATGGTTGATGTCCTGTGAATATGAACTTCTAGCTCCAAAAATAGGAGCCTTTCAAATGGACCCCAAAAGGCAAAACTGTGATTTCCTTGAAAACACCTGCAAGGATTTGGTTGAATTTCACTAAGTTAGGCATACTATTGCCCTAAGTAAAATTTCAAGGGCAGTATCTTCAGTGAAGATGCAATACTCATACTAGGGGTCCAAATGGTTATGCAATTATGTATGTATCATACTTTGCATAACAAGTGACCAGTGGTGGTCTACTGATCTACTGTTTGTTTGCAAGGTAATGTAGTCTTTGTCAATTGGGTACGTGCAGTGTGTTGGTAACAAAAACATTATGGCTAACACCTTCCCTGACATAGTAATGATGATGGAATCATGTCACTAAGACGCATAAAGAGGCAGATAGTGAGACGATGTCCGAGAGAGGGGACCTACACTTTATACAGGCTCCAGAAATTCATCATGCTAACAAAGTTCTACCTTCATCAGAGGTGGAGGAAAGGAAAGCCATGGAACAATCTGGCCAGGCTCAAACCCAAGACCTTTGACACAGATGACTAGCATTCTGTCAGGTCCTAGTTTTTAAGTATGCTTTCCTCTAACTGGAATTTGGTTCATGATGCCCTTATGCTGCTACTGAGCACACTGAAAAGGATAATGTATTGTTCGACCGTTGAGCAGTGCTGTGTTGGTAGTGGTGATAATGAGAAGTGTTGTTGTATCAGCTACAGATGATCTGAACATGTTGAAAGAGGAAAGTCCGTGACATAGCTACAAATTATATGGCAGTACTGATACATGTACATAACTCTAGTAAGTGCATGACAGCATCCATCAGACTTCATTTGCTTTGATAATTTGGGATACTGTATCATGTACTGTACATGGGTGTGAGGGCACAAGCCTGGTGTCTGACCCCCCTCCCCCAATACAATTTGAAAGGTGGGAACTGATAAAAACAATGAAATATACCAAGTATTAATACCAAAAATTACAGTGATTTAAGGAAATTGTTCTTATAATCTGAATATTGTAGGATGGCCAGTGAAAATAGCCTTAAATGATTTACAGAGAACTTTATAAAAAAAATTTAAGGACATTTTCTGCTCCCCCTCTGCATAAAATCCCATCAGTGCCCATGATACTGTAACCAGTTGACCCCCCTGAACTGAGCAATGTTTTGTGTTCATTTTGTGTTCACTTGTTTTCCTTTATACAGGCTGAAGATACCAATTAAAAGTTTGATTACAAAAAATCTAAAGCAATGAATTAATCCTCCAGTGCATAGTCCCATGCTGTATGGCTGCCCTATCATCTGTTGCATCTGCTTTAGGCACTCCCAAGTGTCTGCCTGTTACGTGTTCGTTGCGGAAGCAAAATATGAAATCATGGCATGGTGAGGCTGTCTGCAAAACTTCATGTTTCATCTTCCAATTATCCGGTGCATTTTCATGGGTGATGGAGAACTGTAATTCCTACTAGACATGAAGTTCAAAGCAAATGTTACATTTGAAAAACAATCTCTCATATAAATGAATTGAACATTTTATAAACCTCATCAGACCCTATTACTTTTATCTGAAACATTTTTTGATGTACATCACATTTAATGAAATAACAAGAATAATTTCTGGCTCTGTTTAATGTAAAAAGTCCGTTAGAAGATAAACCAAATTAGTGGAACCTTATGACAGAGGAACATGGACAAGACAATGATTATGACAATTTTAAGAGAATAGATGTTTAAAACAGAATGGTTGAAACAGCTGTACATAAATAATAATAATAAAGTGAAATAACTTCATAAAGGGACACTGACAGAAACATCCACAGAAGAACACATAACTTCATAAAGGGACACTGACAGAAACATCCACAGAAGAACACACAACACCTCCAAATTCTATATTATAAAAGAAATATTATGATACAGATATCACCCCAAAATGGAAAATGGCAACCTACAAAGTATATTTTACAGTGGTATTATAGTCAGGGTGACCAAAGAATTCTCACAGGGGTGGACATAAGAGTCGCTAGGAGCTGACAGCTTGTTCCCCAACTTTAAAATCCTAACCTACCTGCAGGCACTCCTTCACAGTACCATAAAATGAATAATCAAGCAATTTCTGTGGACAAGAGGGGAAGTGGGGGGAAGCAAGCCGGTAGAGTACAAACCATGAGATCCTTTTGCCCAGCTCCACTATAGCACACTGGTGTCAAAACATCCCCTACAAAGAGAAACAAAAGCCAAGTCAAGTCCAAGCAGTGGATGTAAAATTTTTTTATAAGTACTGAGGCAAAGCAATAGGTGATAGGATTAGAAATTAAATTTTTTGACAAGTTGGAATTCAGAATTTTTAAATTGAATTATAAGAAAAATTATAGTGGTCTGACCATGCAAAGAACAGACAGAACAAGGATACCAAGAAAGGGTGAAGTGAACTTAAATTGGGGCTTTATTAATAAGGGCCCACTACTGAGCATATGATTACCCTGACGTTTTTCTACTAAACACCAAACCAAAACGAAATTCTGTAAGCATAATGACATAGCACAGAGAGGGTGCTTACTGTACAAAAGACAGGAACACTAACAACATTACAATTACATTTTTTTAAGTACCCTCCACATAAAGGGCATAAACTTAAACAAATCTGGCATGTTGAGTTCATACTTCACACGCAGAATGCCTTGGTGGAATTAAATGAAATTTGGTACTAGAGGGAGTGAAAGGTAGGTAAAGGTGAAGTCGTCTCTGTGCTTAATTAAGCATCATGCCATGAAGATGTATAGGGGAGTGAAGGCACAGTTCCATCATTCTTAACTTTGCACTAGATATAGGTGAATGGTCACCTTCTTGCTCCAGCCACCTTACCCTCAGCTTAGAGGCACCATCAAGGTTTGGGAATATGTTGACAGCTATCTATATGCTGTGAGAGGTTCGTCCATGCTAAACTCTGTATTATATGGCTCTGCAAGTAGAAAGGCAAAGTTTAGAAGCCTGCTCTCTGCTCAAGAGCAAGCCAAGCACTAAGCTAGCAGTTGCAGTGACAAGCGGCCCTCGAACGATAGTTGAAGGGACCGAGGTTCAGTGTTTTAGTAATGGATTTTAATATGAAAGGTTACTTAAGCCAAAACAATTCCAATTATATGCCCATATTTATGGGCCCCTAACGTCATGGCTTACTTTGCTTGTGCCTAAATTCAGCATTGGTTGTAAGCAAATTTGCCACGGGCTGATTAATTAAGACTGTGAGGTCTTGGGTAAGTAAATCTGTGGTACCCAATTTGGGTTTGCACCGGCTCACAACCCTATGGACCTCCACGACCTGTTATAGGGATAGTTTTACTTTATTTACCTACAGGATAGAAGACAGAGGAGGCAGGAGAATTCCTAAAAAAATATCAGTCCCTGTCTACCAGACCGCTTGGTGTCACATCGCTGAGGGCCAAAATCTTGACTCACTGACATGAGATCATATCTCAAAATTACAACAGACCTCAGTGAGGCCAACCAGCCACTGGTCCAAGAATTGGAAACAGGAGTTTTGAAATGAAGCACAAGTCCTAACCATTCTGCTGCAACATTTGGCAAGGTCAAACAGTCATGTCACATGTTGAAAACTAAGCAGGCAAATACACAGCTAAGGTTCTGCACTGCCGTTACTTTTGACATACATGAGTTTCCAAACTCAGGAATAGGATAATAAGCATAGGAAAGTAGAATGAGTGTGAACACAATGCTTGAATTAGTGGAAGGACATCATTACTAAGTCAAAACGTGGACTTCCTCAAACAAGGTATGAGGGCACATGAATAAGTAAGTTACAAATGGATATAGAACTTCAACAAATAAAGAGTACTGATTTGAGAAATGCTTTTATTTCAAACACAATCTCCCTGTACACTGAGACACTTGTCCGACTGTTTCACAAGCCCCTGAAAACCAGCAGCATAACATTCTCTGGGCTGCTGTCGAAATCATACAGTGACTTCCCTTTCTACAGCTTCATTGTCGGGAAAATGTTCAGCCGAAAGATGATGTTTAAGAGGGCCAAACAAGTGGAAGTCGCCTGGAGCAAGGTTGGGGCTATACGGAGGATGCTCGAGGACTTCCCACTTGAAATTTCACAGCATCTCATTGGTCTTGTTGGCAGTATGGGGATGCATGTTGTCATGCAAGAGCAACTCGCCTTTGGTGAGGAGTCATGATTCTGACAGCAGGCCAAAGAATTTTATGTTGCTGGTTTTCAGGTGCTTGTGAAATGATGGGACAAGTGCCTCAATGTACAGGGGGATTAGGTTGAGAAATAAAAGCATTTTTCAAATTAGTGCTCTTGTTTGTTTAAGTTCTATATCCATTTCTAACTTACTTATTGACTTACCATCACATATGACAAGAATGGGGAGGAACAGCAATAGGTAAAAAGGTAAAGCTATCCCTGTAACAGGCCATGGAAGCCCCTAGGGTTGTGAGATGGTAAGACTCCCACATTTTCTAGATAATTGGCTGACAGATGAAAGTGAGGAACAGGAACAGAAATAGTTAAAAACATCTCACCTACTGAAGAAAGTCGTCTTCTGGGTTTTGGTGCCGTGTATTCTTCGTTTTGGCTGACGTTTCTGAGGAATGTCGGCTACTGCTCTCTGCATTCACAAGCCATTCACCTGCTCTGAAGATGGAGGCGATACGTTCCTCCGAAACGTCGGCCAAAACGAAGAATACACGGCGCCAAAACCCAGAAGACGACTTTCTTCATAGTCATCGCCGTGAAAACCTCAAAACTTACATATCTTACCTACTGTTTCAGTTTGTTTCCAAATCTTGGAATTCCTAAAAAAGGAAGATGAGAAACAGAGCGGAACGGGTACACCATCACAACAGAATATACGGATTCCACCTCCAAGAATCATGTCTTTATGATTCCAACCATCACAAACAGAAGGGCAGTAAAAGAGTAGGAACAGTATTACCAATATTACAACGTATTATATTGCTCCAGTATGGAAGAAACACAAACACAATGTCCAGCTTCTGTACAAGTCACAATACAATTGAATATAGGAGCCAAGGTTCTCACCCATAAAAGGCAGAAGCCTCCTTAAACACAATTTTACTCAAGACACATCACACCACAATACGTAATAAAAATATAGAAAACAAGGACAGATACATACTTAAAGAATTCCCATATGATGGTCAAATACAGAGACAAAGTACATCATATTACTTCCTTCATCATAAATAGAAGGGGGGGGGGAAAGGCCACTGCCTCTTAACAAGTAACATATTAGCAGATTTATCCAAAAATGGCAACTGATCTGATCATACTTATTTAAATACTGTAATTAGATTTAATGCCTACACAGTCTGCATATATGACACCCAAAGTAAGATGCACTGCAAGAGATTAAACAACAAACCTATTTCGAGCGATTGACATGACGACCATGCTGTAACTCAGGCTAGGAGTCACTGTGGTCTCTGCCATTACAAAACTATTCCACCAGCTACACTGACTGGCTCGTCTTACTCACACATGATGTCAAACATATAACACAGAATATGCAATGTATATTATTACACCACCATCCATGTGTTTAAATATGTGTAGAAAACGATTATATACAAAACTGATTTACAGTTCTTTGCACAGCTTATGTCTACAAATCTATGATGATACATTAAAAAAATAAATAAAACCAAGAGAGCTTACTATGTTTAGGTGGGAGAGAAAAAATGTACATGAAAAAGTTATGTACACACAGCGTAGCATTTTATTCCTGCTTCAGTCACCATATCCACACAACTGTTTCAGTCCTCCCGAAGCAAACAAGACCTTCTGATTCTGTTGCCGAACATTCAAACAAGGTTAGTAGCAACATATGCAACGCATTATATTCTTTCTATGTCGACAAGTTGTCTGGTTTCCTAAGGCATAACTACAGCGTGCCTTTTAATCAAATGGAAGCATGAAGAAAGCAGCCTTCAGGGTCTGCTTGTACCGGTTCTCACGGTCTCTTTGCTCGCGGATTTCTTATTTTCCTTCTACCCTGAAGATGGAGGCAATACGTTCCTCTGAAAAGCCGGTTAACACATTTACATGGTGCCACATCCCAGAAGACTGCTTTCTTCATAGTCACCGCTGTCAAAACCTGAAATCTTACAAATGGAAGCATAATTTATATACAAACTTTAACAGAATCACAATGGGCTTATAATCAAATTAATATTTTCACTGGAAGCAATGGCTAACTGATGTCTTACGAAGGTCATGAAGTTGTTCCTGGATATTTTTAGGGGTAAACATCAATATATACTTACATGACTGTTACCACACATGTGGTGGGAAATCCAACGACTTTATAAAATAGAATAGCCTCAAATTGTATATGCTTTGGGTAGTAGGTTATAAATTATCGTTTGTAATGTTCATAATGAGTTAAGTGCAAGAATGATTCTGTAACTTACATTATTTAAAATACTTTTTATGTAATATAAATATAATTTTTAATCTTAAAAAAAATTTTTTTTTAACTACATAACCCAATTTTCCTTGCATAAAGTTTCAAACTGAACTTACTCATTCATAAGATGTACAACAACAACAACCTCTTTCTGATGCCATATTTCTAATGGAGAATCTTACAAATGATCAAACATCTCCTGTTCTCCTGAAATTTCCATTCCCCTTGCACTGGATCTCAATTCAAATGAATAAGATTAGAGAAAGGAAAAGAGGACTATGTTTGTCAGGGTTGCATCGTGGTGTAGGACCCAGACAACCACATTCTTCAGTCATCAGTGTGAGAACCTCAAATCCAACAGATGAAAGAAAGTTCATTTTTTAATAAGACACTACTGCTAATGATGAACTAAGGACATGAAATTAACAGCTTCTATATTCTTGTAATTAGACAATAATACTTGTCCTACAACAACAACAAACAGGATGTGGAACTTATAATGGTGAAAAGCTATGTTTCGAATCAAATATGCGTGGGAAATATCAAAAGTGATTTGAAAATTGTGATGTTGTTACTGACTCAGAAATGAAACATAGGAGAATTCTGCATAATGCATAAAATTCTTCTGTAGCACAGTGTTCTATTTATAATTATAAAAGTATTAATTTGCAATTTCTCTGAAGTCTCTGGACCCTCACTCCTTATGCTTAAATTATGATGAGTGTAGTTACCAAAAACTATGTACTATTTGTACTATGACAATAAAAATCCCAACAAATGTAAACTTGAAAAGAAGACTCTCCTTGTCTGTATCAGTGTATGTTCTACTGCCACTGGGTGTACCCCCAATTGCAGTAAAATAATAATAATTCACAACAACTGGGAATCTTGAGCCCACATCTCAACCACATACAATCCAACAATTCACAGAACTGTTTGCAGTGGAGGAGTACAATTTACATTTACCAAAAACATCCTTTATATGCCTGAACAACTAAAATATTCATGCCAAAACAAGTTGAAAGACAATTTTTGTTTATACATAGGTCATACTGAAAGTCATGAGCAACAATATTTTGTAAAGTAATATGCTTTATTATTGACAAACCAAATACACCACCTCAATCTACAGACCTTTCTTTATTTTTCCACATAATTGCCACTTCTTTGTACACACTTCTCCCAGCGTTCTGGGAGTTTGAAAATTCCCCTTCTGTAAAATTCCGTTCCAGCCATCTGAAGACACTGACACACTGCTTTCTGAATTCAGCGTGCTTATGGAAGTGTGTGCATGGGTGCGAGCAGTGTTTGAAGATGGGTGAAACATTTTAAAGATGGGAACACCAGCATCGAGAATGAGCCTCGGAGTGGTCGTCCTCGAACAGCCTCAACTGAACGGAACAAGGAAAGAGTGGATGAGATCATTCAAGATGACAGGCTTGTGACTGTGGACACAATAGCCCGAAAACTTGGAATAGGGCACAGTGCAGTACAGGAGATGATTGAAAGCTTGGGCTATAGGAAAGTTTGTGCTCATTGGGTCCCGCGGTTATTGACCGAAGACCACAAAGGTCAGTGAAAAGCCATCACCTCAGAACTGCTGCAGAGATATCGACATGAAGGCAATGATTTTTTGCTCTGTATTGTGACAGGTGATGAAAGCTGGTTTCACCATTTCGAGCCTGAAACGAAACGGCAGAGTATGGAATGGCACCATTTGCATTCTCCATCAAAAAAGAAGGCAAAGACAGTGCCATCAGCTGCGAAGGTGATGGGCACAGTCTTCTGGGATGCAGAGGGGTTTATTCTGGCCGAATTCCTGGAACCTGGGCAAACCATCAATGCTGCTCGTTATGTCCAGACGCTGCACAAGCTCCGTCGTGCATTGCGCGATAAACGTCTGGGACGAAACATCATCATCCTGCATGACAACGCTCGCCTCCACGCCGCTCGCCTCACATTGGAAGCAATTGCAAAGATGGGGTGGGAAGTTCTTCCACACCCCTCCTATAGCCCTGATCTGGCACCCTCCGACTACCATCTTTTCGGATTTGTGAAGGATCAGCTGCGTGGACAACGTTTTGAGACAAGGGAGGCAATTCAGAAAGCAGTGCGTCAGTGTCTTCGGATGGCTGGAACGGAATTTTACAGAAGGGGAATTTTCAAACTCCCAGAATGCTGGGAGTAATGTGTACAAAGAAGTGGCGATTATGTGGAAAAATAAAGAAAAGTCTGTAGATTGAGGTGGTGTATTTGGTTTGTCAATAATGAAGCATGTTACTTTACAAAAAATTGTTGCTCATGACTTTCAGTACGACCCTCATAAAGTCAAAATTTCAGTGTTTACATTGTTCAGAATCGCAATGCACAAAACTGACAAAATTTCTCTCAGTTTAATGTTGAAATCCTTTGTTCCCAAAACAAACTTTAAATGTGGACTTGACAGAAAACGTAAAAAAAAAAAGAAGTAATTTATGGTAGTATGGGGAAAATTTTCACACAACAGTATGGCATCATATATATATATTGGTTTATGATTTGGAGAACTCTAAACATATGCTACATTATTCCAAAATAAACTATTATACATTTTTTTAATGCATCAGGAAACAGATGTGGGTTTGTAGCAGATTTTGGAATGAGTATCACTTGGTTCAGTCTTCCTTGAAGCACTGCTTTTAACAGTTTCCACTGTGATACAGTGAAGCACAGTCAGCCCATTGTTCCACTCTGGCAAGACATCATTTACCCATGCGTACTAACTAAAGATACTGTCCTGCAATTTGATGGTGGTAGTAATACTGACAATATTATGCCCTAACTTTAGCTTACCTTTCAAACTGGCAGAGCCATACAATGTCTACAAACATCAAATTAACTAACGCTTCATCTGGACTGAAAACATACGCGTAACACATGTACATATGGCGAACAATAATTAAATAGGGTATGTATATATAGTTCACCTTTCAAACATAAAGAATGTAATCTGTGTTCCATAATCTCCAAGTTCTTAGTATACATACTGACAAAGTTACCACAGAACATTATGATAATGTATATGAAATTTTCAGATTTATGCTTTAACATAACCGCAAAATGTAAAGTGTAATATACAAGACATCAGACACCTCAAACTAATTAGTAAAAATTTATGCTTCATTCTGAGACATTGGAAGTTAAAAATACTGTTAACTTCTCATATCCCCAAAAATCTCCTGCATACATTGGAATAACGGGTGCCTTAACTGTCAAGCACAGACAGCCATATTTTAATATATATTTCTGTTGTTGGATTTGATATATATATTTCATTTGTTTAAGCCGTCACAACAAAAGGCCTCAAACAACACAAATCCCAAAGAGTGACTGGCTGCCTGTAGTAAATAACATGGAACTTGAGAATCCAATTTCTAACATAAATATTACTCTTACAATACCTACCTTGGCAATTCTCAATGCATTCGTAATGTTCCAACCTTCCTTCAGAGCATACGGGATTGAAACTTATTGTAGAAGTTCAAATCTTTACATTGCAAACAAGTCCTTTTTGCTTGACTTCAAGATCACTTATAAAAGAAACCTGTAACTTCAAAACACCATAACTTTCATCATCCTACTGACAGTAGTTTTCTATTCCTTTCTGTACAAATGGCAGTGAAGGACACAACAATTCATTATAATTTGAATGCCAGTTACATGTATTTCCCTCCCTTTGCATAAAAAGAAAAACTTAATATGTTAAAACAAGTTCCTATTTAAAAGCTGAAAGTGTGACAGGATATTGAGCTAACTTACTTTTGTCTTGTAATACTCCATTTTGTCATGGCCTTCTCTACAAAGAGAAGCATCTCATGACCTCCCTAATTCTACTCAAATACACTCTGTTTTTACTAACAAAAGGATACTCTTGGAAATCAGCCATTCCAACCAATTCTGGGCTATGTATACATAAGGAACTGTCACTGAATACACAAGCTTCTTAACTGCCAAAATAAAATATATTCCAAGCAGCAACATCCAGGGATCTGAATATTTCTTACTTCAATTAACTGCTTACATTCTATAGCATTTACATAGAAATGTGTACAACCAAAAATGTGATCATAAACCAAATTAAGTGACTACCACTGCTAATAAAACAATATGATTTACCATAACCCTATATGAATAATAATAATAATAATAATAACAAAAAAAAATTCCAAGTCTGATGAATCTGTACCGAAAATAAAGTCTCAGCTAAGTGTGTAAATATCCTTGCCAGTAAAACGTAAGAATTAGGGATGACAGGTGACAAAACTTAGCATGCCTTATTAACGGATGTAGGGGGCAGACCTGTCATTGACAGAACCAGTCCTCCTTAGTGTGGTACCCCTCTTGATCTGATCCATGAGAGATTCGTGACAGATGGTGGGATCAGGTACAGTACGGCTGGCGATGAAATGACGTACCCTAGCTGCCTTGAGCTGCTGTGCTGCCATCTGTTGCTGCTTATGTTGTTGCTGTTGTTGTTGGTGTTGGTGTTGCTGCTGCTGCTGCTGTTGTTGTTGTTGTTGTTGTTGCTGCAATGCTAATTTAGAATTGAGGGCCTGCAAGAAGCCCTGCCCAGGTCCGACCACTCCACGCTGAAGCAATCTACTACTGCTGCCACTTGGACTTCCACCATTATCTTCTGAGTGACGTCGCGAGTTTCTGGGGCTCAATGTTGGGACTAATTTGGCACCAATAGCGGCGATGATACATCCTGAACATTCATTTGCAGACCTTGGCCCCCTGCGATCTGCACTCTGTGAACGGATGCTTCCTGTGTTGCGACGTAAAGCACTGGGACTTGCTGGCGTGTGTTTTAGCTCTGTGAGCGTACGAACAGTCTCTGCGACACTGACACCTGACCCTGCCGCCACTGAAGACCCACCACCACTGCTATTGAGGCTACTGCTGCTACTGCTGCTGGTGCTATCAAGCAGGAATGCTGGTGGAGGGGGCAGATTCTCAAGGCTTCCATTGGCTATGCTCCCCATTCCAGAGGTACCTCCACCAGAATTCTGGCGGACCACAGAACTGCTGGAGATCGATGAAGTTCGACGGATAGGTGGAGGAGGTTTTTGTACTTGAACTGAACAGCGACGAAGAAGTGTGTTCCTCATTGTGTTGCTAGGATACCCTGCAAATAACAAGTTACTGCACTGATGTATGCTACAATACTGTCCGTTGATTTGTTCATCTGCTCCTGTAGTAAGAAAACTGCAGCAGTAATGCATTTGTGTACAGAGACTACAAAATGAGAGCACTTTTATTTACACACCCGCCATTCACACCAGAGGCACACATTACTTAAGGCACCAATATCAAAATACTACAAGTATTATGTTTTTGGACATTATCCATTGTCCTGCCTATTTTCTAAAAAACCATCCTGTTCATTTTTCAAAATACAACGTTTTGGAGACTGGATTCTGTCTCCATCCTCAGGTAGAACCTACTCAGCCGGGGGGGGGGGGGGAAGGAAATTTGGTTCCCTGCAGGATTGCCATATCTGCCTCACACATTCAGTCAAATCAACAATACACATGACACAGCAATCCATCTTCAGTGTTCAATTTTATGCTATTTAGTGACAACGTTTCAACTGCAGGGGTTATATACTGTCATATGACAATGGAGCACTATCAGGAACAGTGAGTATGGAAGGATCTGAAAGGAGATGATTGTGTCAAGGCATTACATGACATTTGCCTCATGTTGTCTCCAGCATGTGTGTAGGTTGAGGAACGGGCTGCCACATAAGGAGGTTCCAAGCAATTTCTAGGCACATACTGACATTCTGCCCCCATCTTCAGGGAAGAAATGTGTAGGTTGAAGAACTGGCTCAGTCATATAGGCTGGGAGAAAGGAAAGTCATCACTGATAGGGAGGGAATAAGGAAATGGAACCCAGCCTGGGGCAATGAAATATGTGGGTAGGGAAACACATCTTTTAAGGGACACATTAAGTTTTCATTATACTTGGGGGGGGGCTGACTATTGACTATGCTCCTTAAACTGGCCATTTCCCCACCTACACCCTTCAGCTCTCAAGAGGGACTCAGCAAGTTCCTCCAAAACACTGGCACACACCTACAAGGTTACATGATGTCACTACCCAGAAAACCACAATCAGTAACAATCATGATTTTTACATTTTCTGTTGCAGATGGATGAAGAAAGCAACTAAAACGCTTAAAAATTATAATTCTCACAGGATTAAACATTAAGATTCCAGTATTCTGGGATGTGACGTACAGTCTACAAGATGATAACACCATTTCAGAGGAACCTGTTGCCTCCATCTTCATGGTACCTTGACTACATGGCTTCACACCCTAGAATATTACCATCTTCAGCAAAATGATAACTGCATTAAAAACGACGTGCATCTCTACAGTAAAATGTGTTTCAAACCACATTTATGACATATTTTGGAGAGTACTCCACTGAAACTATGCATATGGTACATAATATGCTACACGAAGCCAACATACTGAAATGTTACTGAGCACATACCACATTTCTCTTGGGGGGGGGGACAACAACAGGAACACAAGAAAGCAAAATATTTCTCTTCTGTTACTACATGATGCATGCATCTAACTTGTCAATCCTTGCCACTCTTCTCTTTACGATGAAACACCAAACTGCTAGTGTACTGCTAAAAGTGGTTGGGCTTGCCAGCCAGCAGCAGAGCACTGGCAGTGAAAGCATCAACAATGCAAACAAACATAAGAAATATGGTATACACTTCAGTTATGCTAGGAGAGATTTTGGAAAGCAAAGGCAACCTACCTGCGGTGGAGACAGGTCGCCTGCGTGAGCCACTGGTCAGGGCAAAGTCCCCAGAGCGGGGGAGTGTGCAATACTTGCTAGCAGCCTCCAAACTAGACACACTCAACGACATGTCTAGACAAGAAGAGGGGACGAAACAAACTAGCTAAAACCACATATACATCACACAAGAGAAAAGAGAGGGTGGAGGCTGTCCAATATAACAGCCACATATCTGTGCTCAGAAACCAGCAAATGTCAGTTACAAAGGAAAGGGTCCATGATTAATCGATATTATGTCTGACAAACCAACTCAGTTTTGTTACCGTACTCATTGAAACGGTAAGGAAGTGAAATGCATGAGCGCTATTCGAACAAAACCCATTTTCACCACTGTTAGTAAATATAGTCAGTTGCAGATGATCGTGTGGCTGCGTGCATGATGCGCCAGCATTTGACCATGACGTGCGCAACAGGTGCATTAGAGAAAATGGGAACAATGTGACATGGTTAAATGCCAGCATTCCAGGTGCAGAATCTGTCTAATGCATCACTGTTCGCAGTATTCAACAAAAATTGTTATTGCAATAACACTATTATGGAACACCCTGAGAAATTTGTTCTGCCAAAAGAAAAACATTCCTGGTGCTCATGGCAGTTGTCACAGTGTTGCATAGCACCACCACCAAGGGGGCCTCACTTCCAGGACATGCTGTGCTCCATGCGCCCGAGCATTCTGGGAATTCCCCCATAGAGCCGGACATGCCATTAAGTGATTTCCATGTGTCCGCCCACCTCACGACCTCACAGAGGTGCTACAGGCCATACATTTGGGTCACACAAAGACTGCAAGCCCATGAGAGTGCATTGGTTCCACCAGCAGTCTAGTGAGTTCTTTATGGATTGAATCCATGGTTGACATGTCATTCAATGCCCTTGTGGATTATCCTTCATGGCCTCTATTCCTTTATTTGGGACAATACCCAAATGTGTTTTATTTGAACATGCCTCATAATTAAGAAAGCAGTCTTCTGGGATTTGGCACCGTGTATATGTGGTGTTAACCGACGTTTCGGAGGAACGTATCGCCTCCATCTTCAGGGTAGAAGGAAAAATATAAGAAAATATAAAATATAAATATATAAATAAATAAAATATAAGAATATAAGAAAAGCAGACTGCTTTTATCGGTTCTCACGGTCTCTTCGCTTGCGGATTTCTTATATTTTTCCTTCTACCCTGAAGATGGAGACGATACGTTCCTCCGAAACGTAGGTTAATACCACATATACACGGTGACAAATCCCAGAAGACTGCTTCTTCATAGTCACTGCCGTGAAAGCCTCAAATCTTACAAAGTCTCATAATATTATTAAATAATCTACAATTTGAAAAAGACCATTCCTGAGTGTCTGGCAAAGACATGACAAATAAAAAGGTTGAGACAGGCAAATAAGAGATTGGTCGGCACTACGATTCAGCACTCTGAATCTCTCTCTAAAAGCAAAATTCACAACAGCTCTAGAAGGCACTTTTCTTCTAAGAAGGTACAGATCTCACAGTGTGTAGTATAACTAGTCTGCCTAATATCAGTTACATGCAATACTATATTGCTTGAAATGTAATTATCACAGATGCTGTCCATCAATATGCAGGACTCAACAAATTTGCTTGTCTGTGTTCATCTGTGATGAGTGAAAAATCAAGGCTGACAGACATCAAGGAGTAAATGTTATCCTGTATGTGAACATATTATAAGGGACAGTATCTCATGCCTTGTATTTATTATTGTTATTGTTCGAGGGGTGGGTTTCCCCATGCACCGCGACTAGTAGTCTATTGTACGTCCCCCTTTGATAGTCTACCAGTCTCTATACCCTACCGGTACTGGTGAGTGCCATCAGTCCCGACTCAGCCAGCGAGTTCGGCCTCTACTGGCTCAGCGGTACCTGATGCCTCACCTCACCAGAGGTGTTGGAGACTTTTTTTGGGCGGTAATGTCTGATAATTTAGCTCAGAGGCCTCCTTGAGACATGAGGTTCTTTTACGTGTGGTAAAGCTACGACACGGGACCCACGGCTTAAAGTCCTTCCTGGAGGACTTGTTCCCTGAATTTTTCCGCCCTTAAAAATTCCACGACCTCCGCCGGGTTTGAACCCGCGTGCCTTGATTCATGAGGTGGGAACGTTACCCCTAGACTACGGAGGCCGCTTCATGCCTTGTATGTTATGTAATAGTTATGTGTGGAGAGACTGCAATGGTGTGGGCATATACAGTTCTCTCATCCACAACTGATTTCCGAGTAAAATTTCTGTCTGGCTGCGGAAATAAGTCAACATCTGTTGACACCTGTTAAAAATATCTGGCATTTCAGAGACTGACAGTATACAATCCCAACTGGATATCAATACATAAACAGATATGTGTTTATACACGTTATTTTTTATATTACTGACAGCAGACAACCCGAGGGGCTGAGCCCATTTATAAGACATATGCATGGATCAGAAGACAACAACAAAATTGATCTTAAAGAACTAGGATGTTATGGCATGAAGTGAACCAATTTGGCTCATGGCCGGACAAAGTGGTGAGTTCTTGAAAGAAATGAGTCACTGTTTGACTCATGAAGTAAGTTAGTCAGTCTGTGGTTGTGAGAATTCAAAGGTTTCAGGTCAGTCCTGCAGTTGCAAAGTAAATGCTAAGTCACATCAGAAATTTCCAACCACTGACGTTCAATGCATGTACGAGTATTTTCATGTGAGATTCTAGGTTCCTGCATCAGAGACTGTGAAGGATCAGTATCTTCTGGGATGTGACATTGTTTAGTCTGGTAGACAACCTGCTGCCTCCACCGTCAAGGTAGAGGGTTCCTCTTCTACCAGACTAAACAGTGTCACATCCCAGAAGACGGTAATCCTCAAGTGTACTTTTAATTTTTAAAGTTTACAGTATGAACATGTCAGATATTGTGCTGTTCACATCGTATCATTTAACGCTCTGAAGACATGAAGTGGCAGCATTGGGAATATCAGCCACAACATCTGCACATCACGTCGTGTCCCTTCTAACAGCAATTGTACTGCTCTCGGGTTCGATTCATTATGTAACGAACACCAAAACGTAAAACTCTGTATGATGTCTGAACTCCTGTTAGTGGCACACAGCAGGCAGAACTCAGTTCCATGCCATGACACTACAACTGACTGCCACACAAACGTGATCATACCTTCATTGTGAGCTGCCGCAGCGGCCACTGCTGCCGCAGTTGCTGCCACAGCAGCCGCGTCATCCACGGGGATGATTGTCTGGCTGCCATATCCGCTGGATGACTCTAGCGAACTTTCACTTGTACTTCCGTCCTTCTCTCCTGGTTCAGACTGTACAGAGCAAATATGCAACACTTTATACCGCTCATTAAACATCAGAAATTAATTCCACACAAGTACAGACATTCAGAATATATAACTTCTGTAATAATTTCACAGTGGAACCTCCACTTCAAGGGTTCCCCCTATTTAACATTCAATTTAAATGATCCCAAGTAAATAAAGTTAGAACAGAATTACCTCCATTCAAGACTATCTTCATATTAGTGTTGAAAACAAACTTCCTCCCAGGTTAACTTCGAATGGGGGGGGGTTTCACTGTATGCACTGGTGACAGCATGACTTCCAGGTTGGGAGGGGGGCACTGCCTCCACTCACAGTTCAGTGATCAGCTGGTGAGCAATTCTCAGTATCTCAACGTCTACTGTTCAAGAGTCACTGCAGAAATATCAGCTTCATAGGTAAAGACAATGCTCCCCGCGTGTAATTAAGCACGTCACGAAGATGTGTGGGGAATGGAAGCATTGCTCCATGTATTCTTAATCTTGGCATCAGAGTGATTGGCACAATACCAATGCCGTATTATCCCTGGGGAAAGAAACCTCAGTATCTGCTGGACAGGAGGGCAGGTGGACCTCAGAGCCAATCTGAACAGTGGAGAAAAAAACAATATCTTGTCCCTACAACAAATCAAACCACATTTCCTGCTGCTGCCTAGTTACTGTACAAACTGAGCTAACCCAGCTATCCAGCTTTCTGTTTTACTTCACCATAGTTCTGGATTTGTATAAGAGCTGGAGTAGAAGAAATTTTCTGGAAGAAAAGAAGAGAGAGTTATCTAATGAGAACAGAACCTGTCAGTTGAATGCCACCATTCTTACTTGACACAAAAAGCTACTGTGAGGATATCCTCAAGCAACGCAACACCAGTGACACAACATGGCTGTGAAGCAAGGAAAGTGACTTTGGGAACTAAACAGAAATCACACGTGTTTGTTACCGACAAGTGAGATCTCAAATTTACAAGTAACAATGTGGCTATAAACATCCGATCAAACTTAAAATTATTAAAATATTAACATGCCAATATCTACAAATGTGGAATTGGAACTTTCACTTTAATCCAACTGATGAATGAGAAACATAACAGTACTTTTATTTAAACAAGTAGTTCTGGACTTGCAATGGCCTCAGTACATACTGTGAGGTTGTGCCACGGATATGTATGAACCTCAAGGTACTACTTGTTGAGGCTTAATACCTGGAGGTTAACCCAAAATTTTTTATTGGCTCTGCGGATTTGAAAAACATTTCGGTTTGCTTCCGACTCTCCATCAGCAGTCCGGTTCACTCACTGCCTGCCACGGTAAGTGCATTTTCCTTCCCACGGTTTGGGATGCTTTCGGTTTGTGGATGCAGGTGACATGTGAGCTCCTTTGGGCTCTGTGATTCTGTTTATTTCTTGTTCATGTTGTTGACTCATTTTGACCGAATTTATTATTGATCTTTTAGTTTCACCCACTTATTACATGGCTAATATTTGTACCTTTTGCAGGATTTGGGGTTCTCACAGTGGTACTTATGGAGAGTTATATCTTCTGGGGTATAATGCCATTTAGTTCACTGAAAGACAACTGACATTTTGGAGGAACGTGCCACCTCCATCTTAAGCCACAGAATAAGCCAAGCAAGAAACCACTGTGAAAGCAGGTGGCAAGCAGAGCCCTTTATTGCGTGACTTACTCTCTGCCCCTCCTGTGACACAGTGGTTGACTTTCAATGGAAGACAGAACTGTCTGTAGCTTTTGGTTGCTTAAATAGATCTTTAAATTACTATAGAAGCAATCTTTCACTTCTGGTTTTGGGGCTGTGACATTTTAGTGAGCCCCCTCTTCATGTTTCATTCATTTCCAGGTGAATTATTGGTAAATAAATAAATAAATATATATACTCATGCTGTGTAAGTGAGAAAGGGTGGTGATGCAAGGTTATTATCAACTATAAATTGAATATTACACAATTTAGTGACCCATTTCAATGCATAATTTCCACTAGTACACAATGTTGACATGTTACAACTGCCAGACATAACCCCAAAATTTTCATAATCACTATCTTTTTTTATAGTAATATAAACAAATTCTTATCCTTAGGTTTACACGACATCAAATGGGTAACCTTTGCTTTTAGGGTCTAGCCACACCATCTTTCAACACAAGATGCAGATAAACGTTGGAAGTGTAAGTAACATATACAAATAAACTTCATTTCTATCAAATTCAGTACTCTCCTGTCAAATTTTTAAGAAAAATGCAACACACCTCAGTGTAAGCCAGCAGATTATCCTGGAAAGGACATGCAATGGATATGGCTTAAAAGTTGCAAACAGGCAAGTCAGATCTCATTTACAGATACACCAACAACTGTGAAGTTGTAGGGAAAGACTGTTACTGTGAGGGAAATTATAACTTCCTAGGAAACAGTGTGATACAGTTCAAGCAGACAAAAATCAGATATGATCAGTGGCCATTCTTCAGGCAAGTTGCTTGAACTACAGCAATGAAAGCTTCAGTGGTCACAGAGATGTTTAAAGTTGGGAGACCTAACATTACCTTGAAAAGGACGTTAGAGACAGAAATCAACACCGCAGGAATATCGTGGAAACAAGTTGGAGCTCTACCACAGAATAGAGTTCGATGGCGATTCTTTGGAGAGACTTTGCAGTCCACCTATGAATTATAGGATTAAAAGAGAGACAAACATTTCTCTTGAAACAAATGGCTAAACTGAGCTCAATCTGTTATCTGGTCGCAGGTCACTCACCTTCTCCTGGTTCTCTGGTGGAATGCTGATGAGTTCTGGAGGGGGAGGAGGGAAGTTCATTTCCTGAGCCTTGGTAGCGGCCATCGTAGCAAGCTCATGCATGTTCACGTACATCGGCTGTGGTGGATCTGCAGGAAATTGGCAACACTCGGGGTGACTTACGCGGAAACATACTCTAATGCTGTACACCAGTTCACAAACACATTCTTTTGGACTCTGCATTATGTCATTGGCCTTAATATCAAGTTATAAAGCTCATCATGCTACTGATGCTGTACTGCTGGAAATTATTTTTCCTTGTATTAGAAATTCCTTGAAACCCCACAGTCAGGGTAGTCTGTGACCCGGCTGATATTAGAACTGGTCATTTCCCGGATACAAGTCAGAATTGTTACCACATGAGCCAAATTTCTCAGTGACAATTTTCAGAAAATCAATAAAATTTGATTACAGTAACCAATCAGTCAATATTTAGTATAAAAGGTAAAGTTGTCCTTGTGCTTAGCTAATTAAGCGCTACACCGTGAAGACATATGGTGGAGTAGATGTATGGATCTACGAATGCTTGACCTTGGCACTAGCTGGAAGTGAGCGGTCAGCTTTATGTCCCAGCCACTTTACCCCTTCTGAAAGAGTCCTGAGTGCTGGATAGGCCATGGAACTTGTTGGAACAACATGGTGAGGAGAAAAATTTTGCCTTTACCAGGATTCAAACTCTGACACCTCAGCTGTCCAGCCTGTAGCCAGTAGCTGACTGACTGTGCTATCCCACATCCTCAGTGTTTAGCATAAACCAATATTAAATTTATCGAAATGTAACAACTACTTCCAGAGATGAAAACTCCAGACGAATGGATACATAAACACACACCTCAACATTATATAACAAATAAATAACAATAAGAGAAGAGGGGATGAAACAAATGACCCTGTCAAACCAGTGAAACTCAGATGTGCAGATGACTGTACCTTTGCCCAGATGGACATGCTGTATGACACCCTTTGGTATCTTGGGCACCTCAGCTTTTGTGACCTGTGTTGTGTGGGGTTGTTTGGCCATGGTGGTGGCCACAGTGGCAGGCCTGTGCTGGGTCGTGGCCACAGTCTTAGCAGGCACTGAGGGTCGCTCCAGGGAGGAGCAACGCTGTGGGATGGGCGGGCGGGCGTAGATCGGGTTCTGATGAGGTTTGTGCGGGGACCTCTGCGGGCTTGCCACTGCAGCAGGTTGCTGCACCGTGGCACTCTTGTTGGTATCAGATGTCGTGATGGTGGTCACTGTTCCTGTGGTGTCGGAAACAGACACAGGACTGGCAGGCTGTGAGTGGGAAGCTCCTGGTGCTTGGAATGTGTACACAGTCAGGGGTGGACGCTGGTGTCCTCGCTCGTAAGCTGGCGGCACAAAATGTTTCATTACTTTCAGCAGAATGTCTAATGAAATTTCAACATGAAGTTAGAGAAAATGTACTTAGTGAAACCCCTAGGCTGCGCCATAGCTCAAGTGGTTAGTTGCTGGCTTCGATCCCGGGTCTGGTCAAGCGGGATTTGTGGTGGACAAAGTGGCGCTGGGGCAGGTTTTCTCCGAGTACTCGGTTTCCACTGCCAATCTTCATTCCACCAATTACTCCACAATCAGCCTCACCTATCATCTGGGGCTGGTACAATAGGCCAGAAGTGGCTGCAGTGCAAGGGACTTAGTCCCACCCCACTAGCAATAAAAAAATGATAGTGAAACCCCTGTTTAACGTTTCTGTGCAGAGGACTGAATTTGAAGAGTAAATGAGCAAAATCTGAAACTGAGGGAATTTAACACATAGATTACTAACTCACGATTGCTGAAATTCAAATTTAAATTATGGAAGATCTCAAATTCAGGAAAAGTAAATGGGGGTTCCACTGTATATGCACCTCTTGTAAACTTAATTTGTTATCAGGATGACTAACAGATGTTCTATCAGTCCTCGCTATGTCCAGGATGGCTGTTCCACACTCTTTAAGCCGCGCCCCAAAACTTCTCTCATTAATGTGCTCCAACCTTCAGTTATTTTCCACAACATTTCTGAACAAACTGTGTGCTGTTGCCGGTCATGTCTCTTTCTTCCACATTTTAAGAGAATATGGTTGTACTGCTTTGATGGTAGATAGCATCATCATCATTGACAAAACAGCCATTTTTGAGCCATAACCTTCTTCAGAAGATGCTCCCATATTTGTCTTGAATTAGTTCATCTAGTCTGCACTTCTTTGCATTTTGCAACAACAATTTTTTTACTGTCCAACCCCAAACCTGGAGAACCAGGTCTCTGTATTTATGTTCCCAGTGACAGGGTGGCCCAGTTATGCCACCAGGCATGGGGTTCCCTTTTCGTCGTCTTCTGGGACTCACAGGGCTAAAGTGGTAGACAGCATATTGGACTTAAAAATCTGCTGCATTATTTTCTGGAATCTGATGCATTTTGAATACAATGACTGGCTGAAAGGGACTGAACTGAACCTAACTACCTGGTAGGGAATCTATAAAATCAAGGATGATGAAATGGGCAGGACATGCTGTACCTGAGGAAATGAAAAAATTTAAACAAGAATAACCATTGGTAGAATAATACTGAGATGTATCTACAGGAGTGAGGTATGAAGGGGCAGGCTGGATCAGACTCTTGATATGCTCTGGCTAGTCTCAAGATGGAGGCGGCAGTTTTCTCCAAAACATGAGTAAACATCTACCAAACTGCACTGTGTCATTTCCTAGAAAACTACAATCTTCAATAAAAATGTTACTTTTATGATTACTCGTACAGTCTTCTGGGATGTAACACGGTGTAATTTGGTGGAGAGGTAACAGCAGTTCGGAGAAACTCATTACCTCCATATTCCGGATATAGGAGCCTCTTGAGCAGGAAGAAAGTTGTGACATGGGGATGGTAGCATCGTGGCCAGGCCTCTAAATGAACCAATCGAAACTGGTTACATGGCTATGACAACTTGAGATCTCCCTATTACTTTCAGCTGTTCTGACATAACAATGAAGTATGATAAGTGATAGCTATTTAATGGAATTTTATTTAGAGATTTTTTCTCTTTGGCCTGCAGTCACTTGAAAATAACCCCCATGTGGCCTACTTGACACCGAATGCATCACCATCTTAGGAAACAGTGTTTAGCGGCACATGCTTTATCATTCACCTGATGATATGGTGTGCGGGCGATCACTCATTATGGCAGTGGCTGCACGTTCAAATTGGAGCGTCTCCTGGAGGTTTGGCCAGGTGGCAGTAGTGTTAGGCAAGGTCCCTGTGGTGTTGCCACTTCCTCCCGCAGGGTACGGTGTCGACGGTGTACTTGAATTACTGCTACTGTGCTCTGACATGTTGGACACCTGCTGACACATGGCAACACTGTCAGTGCATGTCACGGACTGCAAGAAGAGGAGACGCAGTGTTGATAAAGCAAGTTATGTCGATTACAGAAAGCACACAACAATGCTGTCATATTGTCACTATAATACTGGAGTGTATTATGTTAACACCAGTTTTCAGGAAACTGGGTTTGAAGTTAGTTTCAATTGTAGTTTAAACATGACTTGGAGGAAAGCACATTCTAAAATCTCAAACTTGTAAGTACATTAAACATAAGGTAGTATGTGGAAATGGAGCAAAACAATACAGAGAATTAGACTATTTCATTATTTCATTTTGGGCCAAAAAGTTAAGCTAAAATATTGCGATAATCAGGCGGCAATATGTATAGTTGTCTTTACTTTATTTCAGCTACAGAGACAATACCTTCAGAGCTCTAATGCGAGGGCGTGAGTCGAATTTTGTCAATTCCAGTTTATAGCAACAGTATGTACACATTTCTCGTGTCTCTCTCAAGCGATATTAACCGTTAAGTCCCCCCTGTCACACTACTATGGCGATGTGTGCACAGGTCCAACTGCCTAATATCATATTTTTTAAAGCATAAAGTTGATTACCAACGAAGTAAAATCTGGGGGCCATGGCGGGAGGAATCAGAGATTTGGGCCCACTCCGTAGCATTTTCAGTCAGAACCTGTGGCACAGCAGAGACTTAAAATGAGTATATCCAAGGAGCATGCGGTAGTGCAGTTGGTTGAGGCGTTATGCTACAACACAGAAGGTCATGGGTTCGATTCCCGATAGCCGCTGGGTTTCTCAGTTGGCCTTTACCTTCCCCCCCCACATCCAATATACAAGCCTAACGTATTAACACTACACCAGTATTTGTAGCCACCATCCAATCTTCATGGCCAGGACACCTTAAGACCCTTAATTTTAGTACCATAACACCATAATTTTGATTATTGGGTCATCATCATCATCATCATCATCATCATCATCACACATTACCACTCTCACTATCATTATTTCAGCAGTCTGTCACTCTCATTCTTACATATAAGGTCTAAACTTCATGAATGTGCATAACCTCAATTTCAGGGCTGTTGCAGCCACATGTGTTAAAGCTGTTCCAATATTTTGGCATACACTGTAGCTGCCACTTTCAGAGTAGGCCCTACACTGGGACTAAGGGCAATTCCACTTCATCATATCATTCACACCCTGATGACTGTAACTATTCAACATGACATGGCTGAACTCTGAATGCTGAGACTATTATGAAAGGGCTGTGAAAATGTAAGGATACAAATTCATGAATGTGGTTCAGAGCCCATGCAAATACTCTCACTCCCTGCGACTGACAACCCTGCTGCCATTTTTCACTGCACACTTCAGACTTCCAGTATTTCATGGCTTTGTACTTATAAAGGTAGCGGTCAAATCAACTTACTTCCAAGGAATCACATGCAGCTGCTCATAACAGAGGAGAAAACTGTGTGCTCCTAGTGCATTTTCAGAGAGAAATAATTTACTGTCACAAAGTGCTGACATCCAGCCTCAATAAAGTACTTGAACAAAGCAACCAGAGACAGAGGAATGAGAGGGTTAGAACATAGGTACCCTCTACTGGTATTTATCAGCATTTACTCCTTCCAGTGCATGCATCCACCTGAAATGTGGATTCAGAACTTCACCACTGTCTCACTGGGTACAGGCTGGATGGTCAGTGGCCATCCTTACAGGCACAAGCCACAGACACACGTTTCTCTTCTACCCTACATGGTCAAGCTGCTGCTTTAGGTTGCCAGGCCTGTTATTTTCTCACAGGTAAATTATAATACATATACCAACTTCCTAAGTGCTTCAAATATAGGGAAAGTTTCCTCCAAATGTTTCTTGACAATGTAATTCAGACAGAATTCCAACAGCTATCAAAATCTGTCTGCTACAGCAAATTTTGTTAAGGTAACCTTGGGCACTTGGTACTTGTGGGGTTAACTTGGGGTATAACAAAACTCGAATGTGTCCCCTAGCCACACAATAAGGGCGGATGTACTGTTGTTGCAGGAAACAAATGTAAGAGGGTGCAATACCTGTACCCCATGCACGGAGGCAGGACGTGGAAACAGCATGTCCTGTGATGTGAAGCCAGAGTCCTGTGAGGAGAGACTGGAGAGGCGGAGAATGCCCGCAGGCAAGGGATGCTATACCAACACGACAAAACAAAAGAAAAAAGAAACAATAATGCACACCAATAGTAAATCAGAAATAAATTCACAGTACAAATTAAGAAGATGCAATGAAAGTAAAACAAAATATAGATTCATGCTAAACATATGCAGCACTTCCCATTGCACACTGGACTGAAAACATCTTTACCCCAATACTACATAAATTATAATAATATAGTACATTCCGTTTTATGTATTTGTAAATAAACAATAGGAAGTTAGTGTTTTCCTACATCCAAATGTTTCTGAAGATGGCACGTTACAATAAATTTGATAATTATCCATTTTCCATAAGCTTTATCGAACAGAATATGTTCAAAACTTGATCTGTTCCTGCCATCAGGTGTAAGGGAGGAAAGGTTTCCACTCAGCTGGGCCCATTTTAAAGAGCCAGTCTCAGTCAAAATACCAACAATGTTCATGTTCTGATCACTGGTCCAGTAATCAAGCCCAACTGATAGCAACATCTCCTTCCTTACATTCAAGGACGCAACAAGATCAACTTTCTGAAATGGTGTGTTTGAAGAAACTTCAGACGATGTGCACAGTCCAAAATAATGATGATAATGTTTACAGTGTTGGCCAGTCTGACTGTAGCACAACAGATCAGTTTTTTGTGATATCTGGTATAAGAAATCTGTAGCATAGGCCATAAGTCACATAACCTATACTTTACATAAAGGTCAAATGAAACCAACAGCCTTCCAAAGAAACATTTTTGGTTAGGGTGTATGATGCAATTAAGCAACAAGATGTCATTAATTCCAAACCTTTAAAAAGTTCTATAAAACTTCAAAAAATAACAGATTAATTCATGAGGCAGACTCCTTGAGAGACAAAGAATTTGTACAAGCTGAAGGCCCTATGTAACATTTATAACACTGGTTTTATAATGGAAGATGTTGTTAGCTATCATCCACCCTCAACTTGGAGGACCACTCCCTTTTGGCTGTCTCCTCCACCTGCAGCTTCAGGTCAAGTCATACCATGATGACAAGGGACACAATTAACACAGACACATATCTCAAAGCCTTCTGAAAACTGCACAGCAGTACCAGTTTTTGAAGCTCAAAATAGCAAAAATAAATTTTAATCTTGTATGGCGCAATTCTGGGACTTCCCCAGAAATCGGTTAACTGCCATGAGGAAGGGCAACGATCAGATGATCACGGTATATAGAGCAATGCAAAGTGCCACACCAAACACAACATAAAGAGAGATGTCAGGTTTACACTGCGGTCTGCTGGGTAGTGACATCATGTAGCCCATACAGGATTACAATTGGTTCTATCGCAAGTTGCAAGACGCACCTGTGACAGTGAGCGGTGCCAGTACTGATGGTTTGGAGAGTGGTGTGACTTGGTGCTGCCACTGGAAGAGCTGTTCAGTGAGCTGATACTGCACATGCTGGACTTACGGGACCCCAGTGAGCTAGGACTGCTCGGTGGTGTCTGGAATGACCAGCTGCTCTCAGAGCCCTTCAAGTCTGCTATCACCTGCAAAGCAACACAGTAAGCTGGCTCACTACCACATCCTCTCCAGTTCAACACCCACATCATCCCATCATTCGACACTGTATGATCTGTAAGAGATAAGACATGAAGTCCCTGTGTCTGATTAGGCATGGCACCATGAACACAAAATGAGTGGTAGAGTGCGGATATAGCTCCATGCATTCTTAACTTCTGTGCTAGACGGAAGTTAGTGGTCAGTTTCATGCCCAAGGCTACTTTACCCCCAGGCAGGCAGATCCCTTTCTACCCACTGGATAGGGGAGGCAGGGTGCCTCTCTGAGCCAGTGTGGAGGCTGGGTGTGTCTCAGAGCCAGTAAGGATGCTGGATGTCCCAGAGCCAGTCTGGAAGCTGGATGTGTCTTAGAGTCAGTGTGGAGGATGGTTGTGTCCCAGAGCCAGTCTGGATGCTGTGGAGAAGAGTAAAATCTCTGCTCCCACTGAGCATCCAACCACTTCCTCCATCATCCAGTCTGCAGCTGTCACTATACTGATTGCACCAACCCAGTTACAGTTGAAAAATCATCATTACATAAGCCAGCAATCACTAACACTTAACTCCACAGCTTCCAGTGTGACCTATGTCAGTCCACTTGATATAAAGAGAATGCCTTTCCTTAAGGTACAGTGAGTTTGAACATGGCCAAGGATCAGCTGCCTCCTAACCAACATTTCTCTTGGTTTTCCAAGATCAAATGCCAATGTTAAGAATGTGTTGAGCTGTACCTCCACTTCCCCTCAATGCCTAAGAGCAATGTGAATCCACAATTTAGTGGGGCTCAACAAGTCTGTCCTTCATAATTTCAGTAATGTACTGCAGAATATGGTAAATGGATACAAAAGCTTCGGAGAAACATACTGCGTCCATCTTCAGGGTAGAGAGCAGCAGGTTGTTCCAAAACAATGGTATCCTCTTACCAGGCTATATGATGACATTACCCAGGAGACTACAAGTGTGGCTCTTCAATTGTCTGACAACCTAATGGTTATTCTGTGTGTCAGTCACTCGCTTTTGTATCGCTGGCTTTCATCTGAAGGAATCAATATAAAATAATAATATTCAGGGATTTTCATAATTCAGGTCGTGATATCTGACTACCTGGTGCAATAAACACAGAATACACTCAATATCAGAAACAGAATGAATTACATAATTATCACTGTCCCTCTCTGCTGACCTGTTCGCTGGCAGGGGGCAGGGTGAAGGGGTCAGTGGTTAGTTTCTGCACTTGGTCCACCACTTCTTGCAGGTGTGACAACTCTGACAACATCGCTACTTCTTCGTCCTGCAACACCAGACATGACAAAGCACAGTAACCCTTCTGCAGGAGCATAGTGAAAATCTGCATTGTGCATCTGTCTCATGCTGAAAAGATGGATGCTTACAAACAGAGGCAAGAGGGATATTCGAGCAATGGATATGGAATTTTTGAGAACTGATGATGGGAAAACAAGAAGGCACAGACACAGAAATTAAATTCTTAGCAAAAAAGTTGGAATTAAACACTTGTTAACAGAACTAGAAGAAAAATGAATACAATGGTTTTGCTATGTAAAAAAAAAAATTGACAGAATAAGAATACTGAGTTGAGCATTATGATTGAAACTTAAAGGAAAAAGACCTATGGGATGACCCAGAACAAGATGGTTTAGTCAGATTACTGGAAGACAGCAAGAAGGGAACAAAGAAGAGGTAGGAGACTTTTGGCAATTAATCCATATAGAAGGAAATGAGACTAGAAGAAAAAAAAAGGCATTTTTTAAGTTGTATGAGTGGGGGGAGGGGAGGTGAGACTGAGTCTCACATTACTGCAGCTTCAAATGGGCACAATGTGATGGATGAATATGGAGCATTAGTGGAATGAGAATTGGCTGGGGAAAACTGGTGCCTGAAGAAAAATGTAACCACTTTGTCCATCACAAATCCCACAAGGACTACTCTGGGACTGAACTAGAGCCTCTGCAGTGGGAAGATGTATCTGCTTGAGGTATGGCATTGACAAAACAGGCAACTACCAAGTTCACTTGAGACCAAATTTAATCGCTCAGTAAGTAATACACCTTCACTCACCCACAGGGGGAGGAAAGAAAAAACAACAACAAAACGTTAGTTTCAATTCAGTGAGGTAAGAAGTTAGAAGCTACCAAAAATATATATATATTTATGAGAGACAAACTCACCACGACAGGTTTAAGGAACGCAACAAACAGGCAGAAGCGACTACGCTCCTCTACCAGTGCTGCCCTCACAGCCTTTTTCTCAGTCTCCTCCAGTAAGTGACGACGCTCAGTTACATCCTGCAGCGAGGTTTCCATACGTCGCTGTAATTCCGCACTCTTTCCCTTCCGTACCTTCTTCTGTAACCGTAGCGTGTCTGTCGATCGTTTCTTCAGCTCTGCCCTTGCCCTTTTGTATTCTGCAACAACACACCAGTTCATAACAGTAAATTCTTAACTTTCAACCAAGATAAATACATACTTCCTCTTCCAAGGACTGAAAGTGCTGCAAAACTGTTGTCACGATGCAAAATATTTGACCATGATAACTGATATATTTCTAGAAGAATGGAATGGAAAGGCCGAAACCTCAATGCTGATGACGATGAACTGATACAATGAAGCTCTGAACTATGTTGCAAACAACAAGTGCATGTGTTTGCAGGGGCTGCAAAAGATGTGTCCCATACATCATCACACACAGATCACAAGGGCCTAAGGCTTGACAATACCACATAATTCAACTGTGCATGCTATGAAAGAAGTCTGCTTAAAATGAATAAGTCCTTGTGCCCAGGTTCAATCTCAAGTCACTTTCTGGCAGATTTTGGATGGGTGAAGTGACCCTGAAGGCAAGTTTGCTCCAAGTATTCCCATTTCCCCTGCCATTTCTCCTTCCACCAAACGTCTCATTCACAAGAGCTTATCACTTGTTCCTATCTTGAGTCTATTTGTATCTATTTCAATATTACCCTTCCATCTACACCTATGTCTTCCTTCAGGTTTCTCTCACCAAAATTTTGTATGCATTACTCAGTTCTCTGACAGACGCTACATATATTGACCATTACTTGATAATTTTAATAAAATTTGGCAAAGAATACAAATTGTGTAGCTCCGGCCTCCTGCTACTCCTGTACTCCGATGCTGTACAGACTGATACTAACAGCATCAAGGAATAATCATCTAAAAATGGCAGCTCACTGAGCATAGCAACATACTGTATGCACCTGAGCCCCATGCTGCTTGAATGCAGTACTGGGTTACAGTACGATGAATATGAATGGTCAAACTGAGGACAATGTGAAAGGAATCACTTGGACATGCTGACTCAGCAAGTGCCTGGAGGGACAGAGGGAAACCATGCGGAGAACCTCTTACCTATAAATGTCAAGTCAGCCTTGAAGCAAGAAAGTTAAACAAACACCAAAGACAAACAGCATATTTGCATAGTTGGTTACTTATAGTGGCAAATAAAACAAGTTATTCGTTTTAAACTGGTACTTCTGGGAGGCATTAGAGGGGAGGAGGAACACAAACAGGTGAAGAGCTCTGGACATTCACTGAATAGGGGCCAGGATGAATCCCAGGTCAGTGCAGAATGGATCTCACCACAAAGACTTGTCACTAAACTGGCTGTCGTGCTCCACTCATTACGATCCATCGGTAAACCAAATATTGTATAGTATTATTATACAACCGCCAATGGAACAAATTCATAATAAATAAATAAACCAATATTACTGTATTAATAGTATTATGGGCATTTTCTACATGTTTCGCTCCAGCTGGATCATCATCAGGCAATATTCATGAATTGTACTACTCGTACTGAATTGTACTTTTAATGTTGATCCACATCAGTGGCCTTATATATAAATTTTGTTACGATTCTTGCATTCCATTATATTTGAATATTAGTCCTAAAATACAAAACGTTATAACTCAAAAATTAAAAGATTTTCTTTTTGAGTGCTAAGTACAAGTCTATGATCTTGTATTGTACAGTAGAGGGGTATCCTGGGAGTCTGCATTGTTTCAAGTACTTGGTGCACACATTACGTGGTGATCTTCCACATATAAGGGGTGTATGTTCTCTTTTCCTTTTGTGATGCTGTGAGTGTATAATAATACTACACAGTAATACGCAACAGGATGCAAACAATAAAGATAAACCAAATATCAGCTGTCCAGAAGAGGTGAAAACCCAGTTCTTGGATAAGAGTTGACAGGACAGACTTTATAAACCTAATGCGTGCAAGTAGCCAAAAAATACTACTACTAATAATAATAATATATGGGATAATTAGGCCCTTCGTGATTTATACATGCCACTTACTGTTAAGAGTACTGAAATAAAGGGGGTTAAGACGGACTTTGGCTACATAATGAAAGAGATAATTCTGGTGGGGAAATAGATATATTGTTTAATGATACTATCAGTAAATCAGATCTCATGTGGAGGCAGGTTAGAATACCTCCACCACAGCCCTGCCAAACTGCAGAAGGTGACAGAAGTGGAACCCGGTGCTTCGGGGTATAACTGGGCCACCCTGTCACTGTGGGACATAAATACGGGGACCTGATCCTGCAGGTTGGGGTTTGGAAGTTAGGTTGACGACCTTGCTCTACAAAGAAGAATTCAGACACTACAGATAATGATCTGGAGAGGATGTACAAGGAAGTGGCTATAGCCCATTTGAGGTACTATCTCGGCATTCTGCTGAAGGCGCTAAGGAAATGCACAAAAAAGAAACAACTCAGAATATCTGGTTTCCTGGCAGAGGTTAGAACCGGGGACTCCTTGAATATAAGTCAGAAGCGGTACTGTTTGGTCTAATTTGCCTGGTGGAACCTTGAGGAATGTGATCATATTGTTTCATGTAGACCCAACCGTTGCTAGGCAACGATGTCGAAACAAGCTACAACAGCCGATGCTAGGTAACGACTCCGCAACAATGGCACAGGAACAGAGAAACGGTGTTTTCTGTGCTATCCGTGTCGAGATGTTTTAAGCACGATAAGGTAGTGAGGAGTCAGTCAATTAGTCAGTCAGTGGAGTGTAGTGAGTTGGTTGGAGAGTCAGCCAGTAACATAACCGCTGGGGTTCAGGCATTGTGAGCTGTGGCTGAGGACGGGAAGAGTTCAAAAACCCAGAGGTAGGGGAACGTCCGCCGTTGAAGCCGCTACCAAGCAACGGCTAGTCAAGACTGTAACAGACTGAGAAGACCTTGTGTGTGAAGTGTAGTATCGAGGTGTATAAGTGTGAAATAAATCCGATTATCAATCCAAACCCCGTCTACAGTCACTCCATCACGTGACAATATTGAAGACGGCGAGGGGCTGAAAGGTGCTGAAGGGTTCCGGCTTATGATCGTGTTCAATGACGGGTTTGATGTCAGTGCTACTGAACCTTTGGGGTCCTGTGCCAGGGAGGTGGAGGGCCAACAGACGGGAGTCACGCCGGAGTGACCACGTCCTTAGACCGCGCTGCTCTTGCGATGCGCATGGCTGAGGGTTCAAGTACCGGCCGTAGCGGAGTCGTCTGCGTCTGCCACTTATTCGGGCTGGACGGCAGAAAAAATTGAGTTCGATTCCCAGCAGGGAAAGATATTTTCTCCTGTCCACACCGTCCAGACCGGCTCTGGTGCCCACCCAGCCTCCTACCCTAATTGTACCGGGTGCTATTTCCCCGAAATTAAAATGACCGAGGTGTGAAGCTGGCCAGTCGCTTTCATCTCGTGCCAAGATGAAGAATACATGGAGCTACACCACCATTCCCCCACAACGTATCCATGGCTTCGTGTTTAATTAAGTACAGGGAATTGAATTCAGACCGTCTGGGTCGTAGGCCAGTCCACCTCACAGAGCCATCGGAGAGGCGACAATGTATGGTAATAAAAATAAACAAAGTAAACGCATCGATGATGAGGCATGGTGGACTAACAAGAGGAGGCTGTACCGCGAGGCACAATGGCTGCGCCTGAGGGGATACAACGCTACATACGTGCCTGTTTACACAGGGGCTTATCTTCATCTCATATTGGCTTTCCACGGAGATAAGAGTAATCCCTGGAAAGCGAGGTTCAACTTGAACGGGTTCCAGCATCATTTCTCCTTAGCTTCAAGCCTGAGCCAGTACAGCACACCCAAACAAGAGGAGAGGAACTTCCAGCTTCCCACATTCCCGTGGTTTGGATATTTAAGGTTAAAAAAGTAAAGCTATCCCTGTAACAGGCCGTGGAGGCCTATAGGATTGTGAGCCGTCGAGGCTCCCACTGTTTCTAGACAAGCGGCTCAGAGATGGCGGTAAGATTATTAGTCTTTACCCCCAGGGCCATAGTGCGGCTGGAAGGATTAGGTCAACTTAAAAAAATCCAATGGTCTCATCAGGAATCGAACCCGCGACATTCCGCCTTGTGCCATAGCGCCTCACCCAACTATGCTACCGCTTGCCCCCACCAAGAGCAAATACGAAACATCTTAACTACGTATGGTTCACGTAACTTTATATAAACAGTGAAGCAAGGAAACCGCGAGTCCATGACAAAGGAATATCGCCCTAGTCGACAGGAATACCAATGTACAGGAGGCCGTGACCGAGCGCAGTTCTCTCGTGATGAACCTTACAGACATGTCTGAAACAAAAGAAACTCAAGCCAGCACGAAGGAAGGACCGGAAACAGGAAATCAATCATTCTGTGGGTCGAAACCAACTCACATTATTACGAATCACAAATTTCAGAGTACTACAAACCAAGAGACATGTTTTTAAACTGTCTAGCGGTTCTTCTAACTGTTCGCTGTCTCCAAACTGCGAAGTGTTTGCAAACACATCACAGCACCGTGCAGCACTGCAGCTGAACTTCAGCCGAGGTCGACGTCCTCGTCAGAACAAACATAATTACCCCATTATCCGGGGTGTTCCTTCGAGACTGACTGACAGGCCAGACGTTCCTAATAATCCAAAGATGATTCATTACAATGTGCACAGAAGCCTTACTCAGAGACAATCTAGTTCACTCCCCTGCTCTGCAATATAAATTTAAATAGTTACAGGCTGGACGACCGAAGGGGAAGGAGTTCGAGTCCCAGTAGGGGCAGAATTTTTCTTCTCTCTGCGTCGTCCAGATCGGCTCTAGAGGCCACTAAACCTCTTATCCAATGGGTAACAAAGGTAAAGTCTCTGTGCTTAACTAATTAAGCAATATGCCGTGAAGACGTATGGAGGAGTGGAGGGATAGACCTACGTTTTCTTCAGTTCGGCACTAGTTCGAGGTGAGTCGTCAGCCTCGGGATAGAGCCCCCGGTACCCATTGGAGAGGAGGCTGGGTGGCCCCAGGCCCGGTCTGGACGACGTGGGGAGAAGGAAAATCTCACTCCTGTAGGGACTCGAACTCCGACCCCTCGACCGTAAAGCGTCCATATTCTTATGTATGGACACTGTATATGCTGTATGCTGTAGCGCGGTGGGTTCTCACCGCGACGATGAGCCATGAAACTTGGCGTAAATTAATTTGGAGGCAGAGGCAGGTGTTAATGAGAAGTTGGCACCTCAATTCGACTACGTCTTAATTTCGAAACTTTCTGCTCCCCCTCCCCCCCGAGGACGAACGCGCAAAGATCTGACAGCTGACATGGCCACAGCAGGGCGAAACCGAATGCGGCCATAACCAATCAGGACTTCATATGAAACTCGACAAACATATCGTGTCAGGTAATGCGATAAACTCAAAGTAATATCACTAACAAAAGTTATATCTTCTGGGACATAACACCGAGTTGTCCACTGAAAGTTAACCACATTTTCGGAGAAACATTTCAGCTCCATCTTCAGGGTCGAAGCCAGGCAAGAAACCAGCGTGATGCAGGTAACAATAATAACCACAAATCTTATAACATACCATTAGGTACGATAAAACCGGCTTATAACAGAATCCCATGGTACAAAGGATTATCTTCCGTGTCATACAGGTTCTCATAAACGGAAGTACAGCGCAACCTCGATAATCCGGAACAATTAAAGCGCTGATGTGTTTTAGCTGTCTGTCACATTGTTCGATTTACTGGAATAAGGATATGAGGCTGGGCGGAATCCAGAGTCCATCTGGACTCTGTGGAGGAAGCTCTCTTGCCTATGCCGGGAATCGAACTCCGGCCGTACAGCCTGCAGCCCGTCGCTATACCGACAGCAAGGAGTTTCTGAATTCCACACTGAGGACGAATCTCGGAGCTTTAGGCGACGGTGAAGTTGGTGTTGCACTCGGAGCGACAGGTCCTCATTAGGCTACTTACCCTAGGCACAGGGTCACGCGGTGGCGTAGTTGGGTGAGGCACTATGCTACCAGATAGGATTTCCGATACATACCCCTTCAAGCCGCACTATCCCTGGGGTTGACACAGCCTCTAACAGAAATGACTACCAGGCACCTTCCTGGGGGTAAAGGGTGGTCGGCCGGCGCGTAAGGCTGACGACCTCACCGCCATCTACGAGCCGACTGTCTAGAAAATGTGGGAGCCTCGACGTCTCACAGCCCTATGGGCCTCCACGGCCTGTCGCAGGGGTAGCTTTACCTTTTTTCTCTTTTTACCTTTGGCATGATCTTTATCCAAGTTGACCACAGATTTCTTCCAGTCTTCCAGTTTCTCCTGTAGAGGCACCACCAGACAGTCCATGATAGCGCTGAAACAAACAATAAACCCGTGTTATCAAATGGCCTTCAACTCTTTTATGGCGCCCAGTGTAACAGGCCTGATACTAGCGGTGAGTCTTTCAGTTACCCAGTAATCCTTATGCTCATTTATTGAGGCTACAGCTTGCTTTGAATGATCAAGTAAAGAAGGATGAGGTAGGCAGGGCTTGAAGCACGAATGGGGGAGAAAAGGAATGCATATAGGATATTGGTGGGAAAGCCAGAAGGAAAGAGACAACTGGGCAGACCAAGGCGTAGGTGGGTGGACAATATTAAAATGGATTTCAGAGAGATAGGATGGGATGGTATGGAGTGGATTGATCTGGCTCAGGATAGGGACTAATGGAGGGCTCTTGTGAAGACGGTAATGAACCTTCGGGTTCCATAAAATGCTGGGAAATTCTTCAGTAGCTGCAGATTTGGCTTCTCAAGAAGGGATCAGCTCCATAAGTAAGTAACAGTTTTGGTACAACAGGCCAGAAGTGGCCGCAGTACAAGGGACTTGGTCCCACCCCACTAGCAATAAAAGAAAAAAGTAACAATTTGCTTTGTCGTTATGTGAGTCCGCATTGGTGTCCACCTTTGCCGAAAACGCAGCACCGCCAGTGCACACTTTACCTTAGCAACCGCCGTCTTGACAGCACTGCGTCACGGCCCGGCCCCATTGCGCTCCTTGTCCACTCCGGTTCATAAGAGCCTTGTAAGAGCGCGAGCAAGCTCCGGGTTGCCATAGCAACGAATTTTCAAGCGTTAACACATTGCATGTAGTAGGTCAAGAACTAAAAACAGCCTTCTGCATCCAGCACGGAGCGGTGCTTCATGCAATCAGACAGTCCGTAACAAAGAGGATTCCTGCATTAATGTTTTCATTTTACCGTTGGTCTCAACGGGCTCCCTATCCGGATAAGCTCCTGCTAATTTCAAGATAATTTCTTACAAAGCTATCACTGTAACAGGCCGTGGAGACACATAGGGTTGTGAGACGTCGAGGCTCCCACATTTTCTAGACAATCGGCTCACAGATGGCGGTGAGGTTGTCAGCTTTAAGTACCGGCCGCCCTTTACCCCCAGGAAGATTCCTGGTACTCGTTTCTGTTAGAGGCTGAGTCGACCCCAGGGCCACAGTGCGGCTGGAAGGATTAAATCAATTATAAAAATCCACCTCATCGGGATTCGATCCCGCGACCTTCCGGCTTGTAACATGGTGCCTCACCCAACTGCGCTACCGCCGTTAGTCACACCGACAGCAGTCTGCTAGGAGACAAACAGGAACGCGTTAGAAGCGACTCTGAAGTCCACTGGGAAATGCAGCTCCGCGGGAGGCCTATACATAACGGGGCAGTGCGCTTATTTTAAATGGTCCGCGGACTTGAGAACGCCTTCAGTGACACGGCCGATGTCATTACTGTGTGGGCGCGGAGCTACTACACAAACTACAATGTGTATAAACAGTTACACACATTTCCTTATTTAGTAGTGAAGGGGTGCCCGTAAGGCAAGACGCAAAGTTGTTCCTGTGCAGTACACCTTGAAGGGGCATGGAGGAGTGCATCTACAGATTCGCATTTGCTTGACCTCGACACTAGCTGGAGATGAGTGGTCAGCTTCACGCCCCGCCCACTTTATCTCCGGGGAAAGAGTCCCCGGTACCCGTTGGACGGGAGACTGGGTGGGCCCCAGAACCGGCCTGGACAACGTGAAGAAGAGAAAATTCCTGACCTTAAAGGAACTCGAACTCCGACCCTTCGGTCGTCCAGTCCGCAGCCAGTCGCTATACCGACTGAGCTATCCCGGCTCCTCGAAGGGGTGCCCGTACGTTTTTTAATAGCAATGATGTTACAGCCTAGACATGCGCACATCGTGTCGCATTCCAGACACAACTCTTCACGTTATCGGGGTTCGATTCCCGGCAGGGTCGAGAGATCTTTCTCCTCTCCACAGTTTCCGGACCGGCTCTGGGGCCCACCCAGCCTCCTATCCAATTGGTCCTGGGGGATCCTTTCCTGGGAATAAAGCGGCCAGGGCGCGAAGGTGACCACTCATCTCCATCCAGTCCCGAGGTCAAGAATGGTAGAGCCATACCTCCACTCCCCCCTACAGCTTCATGGCATGGTGCTTAATGAATAACTTCACCTTTTACTGACTGAAGGGTGTGTCACTTATGCAGGAGTGCACCAGCTATTACGGAGCATCGGTTCCCCGCCAAGCAGATCGACCGATGACGTTTCAGCGACTACATTCACCCTTCCTGACTGTCTGTCGGTCTGATGGACTTCGCCAGCACAGTCACTCTTATCAGAATTACTGGGTTTTTTTAACTTTGTCCATCGTCTGGCATTGACGTTCGCTCTTTCTGAAGAAACCAACACAGCAGATGTCACACACCCTTCACCTGAGGAAGGAAAAGGAACCAGTTTCCGAAACGTTTCGTGTTCCTTCAGAATACAGGACGATGGACAAAATCCAGAAACCTAGTAATCCTGTTATACCCTACCGTCAAACCCTTTGTAATCTAGGAGTCATTCTTGGGTTGCGAGTCCCGCGGGGCTCACGACTCTGGGAGTCTTGCAACTCTCCCGGTTACATCATTTTTTTTACAGTCATAAAACAAACATTTATATACTTTCTGTCGGTTATGCAAGAAACACATACACAGCGCGGCCATTAAGGACTAATTTACAGATGAGTAGGGGAGTGTTGCAATACGGCAAGACAAGATAACAGATAACATCCGATATGCGATAAGTAACTCGCGTTATCTTGGCGGCATACTTAGCGGCCTGCGTCACAGCTCCAACGCAATATAGTACGAGCTACCGAACGAGCCGTTATACAATAAACAGATAAATACAGAAGGTAATATGCAAGCCATTATGTTTCCTTCTGTTGCACTTAAGCGTTTTATTCCTGAGTCTGCTTCCTACTTTACAAAGTAGACAGAATATCAGATACGTTCTTTGGGCAGGCTCATAAAATGGGATATATAGTCAGATTTCCTCCAATCTGGTTGTTATATGTGGTATATTAGATTGTAAGCTTGATATACAGGGTGATTCTAAGTTGTTGTCGGGGTTTCCGTGGCCTATAATTTTCAAACCAGGAAAAACAATAACAAAAACTGCTTACAGAATATGAAAATGTAAGTCAGAAAGTTCTATGATTTATAGAATCAATACTGCAGAATGCTAAACAACTTCAACATGCGCAGATTTATTTTACAGTCCATGGAAAACACGACAATTTTAGAATCACTCTGTATAATCGAACATGTTTCATACATACAAACGCACAAAAAAAGACAGAAAATGTGGTAATAACAGTTGCAAAGAAACGCCCTCATACTGGACGTTGATAGTAACGTCCACTCATATTAAAAAAATGGAAAGATAAATTGAAATTGAAGACAAAATCGAGGAAACGTGCACTGTTATTAACAAAATACTTAAAGATTTAGAGGAACGCGTCGCCTCTATCTTAAGGGTGGAGGAATAAGCCAAGAAAGAAACCAGCGTGAAGCAGGTAGCAAAGCTCTGATACCTTGAAGATGGGGGCGGTATGCCCACGAAACATCGATTGAGAGAACCCTTCATAGCCACTACTGTGAGGACCTCAAATCCTATAAGAATAATTTTAATTTATTTAACGTCTCCAGGTTTTTCGACTGACGCACGTCTGCAGCACATGCACCTAACGGGACAGACTTTACGCAACGGCGTATCTGCCTTCGGAATTCCACACACACACAATTGCAGTGAACCGTGTGCTATTTATAGGAATCCCAACACACAGACTCGTTATCTTAAAGCAAATAAAACACGAACATCACGTCATAAACCAGTACAAACAAGTTTAGTTGCCATGGTTACTGGAAAGAACAAGAATATGGTCAAGGGGCCCGAAACCAAGACCGACTGTGCTGGCGCGGGTCGGATCAGGCGATCCCAGTGCCTTCCTCATGACGGGAACTGAGAGGCAGCCCATGCATGTAACAGCAAACTTGACAATATTGGTGGGGGCCTCTCTCAGAGACAGAGCCGTCAAACGTGTCTCTATTTTTCCTACGTTTCGGGATGTACATTTGGCTACTATATACCGCGGGAACATTTGGATACTAAGGAGTTCTCGGATATGTTAGTTCCCTAAAAGTAGAAATGAGATAAAGCTATCCCTGTAACAGGCCGTGGAGGCCCATAGAGGTTTGAGACGTCGAGGCTCCCACATTTTCTGGACAATCGGCTCACAGATGACGGTGAGGTTGTCAGCTTTACGCGCCGGCCGCCCTTAACCCCCAGGAAGATTATTGGTACTCATTTCTGTTACAGGCTGAGTCCACCTCAGGGCCATAGTGCAGCTGGAAGGATTAGGTCAACTGTACAATCCAGTGACCTCATCGGGAATCGAACCCGCGACCTTCCGGCTTGTAGCATAGTGCCTCGACGAACTACGCTACCGCGTACCCCATATATTAAATGACTTAAAGTGTACTAGTTCGGCTACAGGCAAAAACGCACGTGACACAAACAAACGAGAGCTTTAACCGAAGTTTCTTCCACGAACTGACGGCTAACAGCTTCAAACAACCGGAACATGTCGGTTCGTTTACAGCGCAAGCGACAGACGCCGAGCTGGAGAGGCAACTTCTTCGGCACGTGCGCGTGGCGTGTTGTCTAAATAGATAGCTGCAGGCAAAGTGTGAAAGTGGAGCTGACCTCTTGGGGGGCGGACAAAGGCCGGGGTAACGTCACAGAGCACGGGGGCGTGGCCAGTATCGTATGGCTCGTTATATTACTTTATCAGTTAAATGATTCGGGAATAGACGTGAAGACAAGTGACCATCGTACCTAATGGAAGAAGAGAAATTAGCATAAAACCAGTTGAAATATCAACGGAAAATTTAGCAACATCGCTCCATTTGGAGAAGACAATCTATGTACATTCTTTCTGCCTGCAAACAAGAACATTTAAAAAATATACAACCTCAATAACTTGA